TGTGTGTGTGTGTGTGTGTGTGTGTGTGTGTGTGTGTGTGTGTGTTTTAAGATACCCTTTATAAGGTTAAGTTCCCTTATGTTCCCTGCTATGAGGTTTTATCATGAATGGGTATTGGATTTTATTGAATGCTTATTCTATATCTACTGAGATAATCATATACATAATTTCCTTTAATTTGTTACTGTAATAAACCACATTAATTTTTTATTTTTTATTGTGGAATATAATGTGTAAAAAAGTATGCAGAATACAGTTTAACAAAATAATAATTACTATTACTATTTTAGAGACAGTCTTGCTTTGTCACCTAGGCTGGAGTGCGGTGGTGTGATCTCAGCTCACTGAAACCTCAGCAGTCTAGGTTCAAGTGATTCTTGTACCTCAGCCTCCCAAGTAGCTAGGATTACAGGTGTGCACCACCACACCCAGCTAATTTTTTGTATTTTTAGTAGAAACAGGGTTTCACCATGTTGGGCAGGCTGCTCTTGAACTCCTGACCTCAAGTGAGCCACCTGCCTCGGGCTCCCAAAGTGATGGGATTATAGGCGTGAGCCACCGTTCCTGGCTTAGATCTACAGTTAGTAACTAATTGTTTTGGAATACAGGTCCATTGAATGCTTTAACTTCATTTACTCTTAGCCTGTTTGTTATTATTGTATTTTTTTAACCACGTTAGACGTTATTTTGTATTTAGGTTCATTTTTCACCTTATATTTTGCTATTTAAACTTTTTTACTGAAAACAAAGACACATGTCCTAGGCCTACACAGGGTCAGGATCATCAGTATCACTCACTGTCTTCCACCTTTACATCTTTTCCCAAAAGACAATCTTCAGAAGCCGTAACATGGTTGGAGCTGTTGTGTCTTTTGCATTTTTCTGGAATACCACCTGAAGGACTTAGCTGGGGCTATTTTATAGCCTGCTTTAAAAAAAAAAAAAAGTAAAAGGAATACATTCTAAAATAACAATTAAAAGTATAGTATAGTAAATAATAGGCTGTAAGAATTTTTCAGCGCTGTGATAATCTTATGTGAACCTCCATTGTAAATGTAGCCAGTTGTTGAGTGAAATACTGTTATCTGGCACATGACTACTCAGTTTTTGTTTTTGTTTTTGAGACAAACTTTTGCTCTCGTTACACAGGCTACAGTGCAGTGGAGTGATCTCCACTCACCGCAACCTCCGCCTCCTGGGTTCAAGCGATTCTCCTACCTCAGCCGCCTGAGTAGCTGGGCTTACAGGATGTGCCTCCACGCCCAGCTAATTTTTTTTTTGTATTTTTAGTAGAGACGGGGTTTTCCATGTTGATCAGGCTGGTCTCGAACCCCTAACCTTAAGTGATCTGCCCGGCCCTGACTACTCAGTTTTAATAAAAGTTCCATGTGCTTGAAAATTGAAAATGTATTTTCCAGCTTAGACACAGTGGCTCACACCTGTAATCCTAGCAGTTGGGAGGCTGAGGCAAGCAGAGGCCAGGAGTTTGAGACCAGCTTGGCCAACATGCCAAAACCCCATCTCTCCTAAATATATTTTTAAAAATTAGCTGGGCATGGTGAGTCACATCTGTAATCCCAGCTACTTGAGAGGCTGAGATAAGAGATTCATTTGAACCCAGGAGGCAGAGGTGCACTGAGTGAGATTTTGGCACTGTACTCCAGCCTGAGCAACAGAGTGAGACTCTTTACCAAAAAAAAAAAAAAAAAAAAAAGAAACAAAATGTATTTTCCATTTGTCACATTGGTCTTTTAATCAGAGGTAGTTAGACTGTTGACACCTTACCCAAATTCGTCTTGACCACTATGAGATACTGTTACTTTGTGGATAATTTCTTCATATCTTCCAGTGCACTAATTCTTTCTTCAGCTGTGTCTAATCTGCTTTTAAACACACCTGTTGTGTGTCTAATTTAGATTTTCATATTTTTTTATTTTTAGAAATACTATTTGGTCATTACTTTTATATGTGTGATTTTGTTAATCTACAGAAAAGCTTTAGAAAAATAGTAAAATGACCATTAAGTTACCTTTCACCTAGATTCACCAACTATTAACATTTTAGCACATTTGTCTTTTTTTTTTTTTTTTTTTTTTTTTTCAACTGGAGTCTCGCTCTGTCGCCCATGACGCCATCTTGGCTCACTGCAACCTCCGCCTTCCAGGTTCAAGCAGTTCTCCTCCCTCAGCCTCCCGAGTAGCTGGGATTACAGGCATGCACCACCAAGCCTGGCTAATTTTTGTATTTTTAGTAGAGATGGGGTTTCACCATATTGGCTAGACTGGTCTCAAACTCCTAACCTCAAATGATCTGCCTGCCTCAGCCTCCCAAACCACATTTGTTTTAATTGTTCTTTTTTTTTTTCAATCCTTCATAGCATGTATTTTTTTTTTTTACTTAATCATTTTAAAGTTGCAAACTTTATAACCTTTCACTCTAAGTACTTTATTATATATATATCATAAGAACAAGAATATTCTATTTATTAATTGGTAATTTAGTTTTTACTTCCACCACTCAGAACAAAGGCATAGTTTGTTTATAGTCTCCCTGTGGGTTCAGTAATTTTTCTAGTTTATCTTTTTGGTGGAAGTCACCGCACATGGATCCTCGGTTTGTCCTGTTGTTTTCTTCCTCCAACATAATTCCCACCAATGTCTCTCACCTCCCTTGGTATATTAACACACACAACTTAGGCCCATTGGCTCTCAAAATCTGGTTTCTACACCAGCAGCTCACCATGACCTGTGGATTAGAAATGCAAATTGAAGGTCTCTCCCAATATCTACTGAATTAGAAAGTCTAGGGGCAGGGTTTTGCAGTCCATAGCTTGACAAATTCTCCACATGATTCTTATGCACAATGCTTTGTGCTAAGGGTGGCAATTTTTTCTTCTTTTTGTTTTTGAGATGGAGTCTCACTCTGTCACTCAGGCTGGAGTGCAATGGTGCAATCTCAGCTCACTGCAACCTCTGCCTTACAGGTTCAAGCAATTTTCCTGTCTCAGCCTCCCGAGTAGCAGGGACTACAGGCACGCGCCACCACGCCCGACTAATTTTTGTATTTTTAGTAGAGACGGGGTTTCACCATATTGGTCAAGCTGGTCTCAAACTCCTGACTTTAGGTAATCCACTTGCTTCAGCCTCCCAACGTGCTGGGATTACAGGCGTGAGCCACCACCCTCAGCCTTTTTTTTTTTTTTTTTTTGTAGAAACATGGTCTCACTGTGTTACCCAGGCTTGTCTTGAACTCCTGGGCTCAAGCAGTGCTTCCACCTCAGTCTCCCAAAGTGCTGGGATTACAGGCATGAGCCACTGTGCCCCACCAACTTTGTAAATGATCATGCAGTAAATATTTTAGGCTTCTTAGGTCACATACTCTTTGTTTGTTTGGTTTTGGTTTGGGTTTTTTTTTGGTGGGGGTGTGGACAGTATCTTGCTGTGCTGCCCATGCAGAGTGCAGTGGTGCGATCTTGGCCTGCCACAACCTCCAACTCCCAGGTTCAAGTGATTCTCCTGTCTCAGCCTCCTGAGTAGATGAGATTACAGGTGCCTACCACCACACCTGGCTAATTTTTGTGTTTTTAGTAGAGACAGTTTCACCTTGTTGGCCAGGCTGTTCTCAAACACTTGACCTCAGGTGATCCACCCTCCTTAGCCTCCCAAAGTGCTGGGATTACAGGCGTAAGTCACCACGCTTGGCCATCATACTATTTTTTTTTAACTTTTAAAAGTTTATTTTATTTTTGTTTATTAAAAATATGGAATGCGGCCGGCGCAGTGGCTCACACCTGTAATCCCAGCGCTTTGGGAGACCTAGGCGGGCAGGTCACCTGAGGTTAGGAGTTCAAAACCAGCGTGGCCAACATGGTGAAACCCTGTTTCTACTAAAAATACAAAAATTAGCCGAGTGTGGTGGCTCAGGCTTGTAATCCCAGCTACCTGGGACTGTGAGGTGGGAGGATTGCTTGACCCCAGGAAGCAGAGGTTGCAGTGAGCTGAGATCACACCACTGCACACCAGCCTGGGCGACAGAGCCTGACTCTGTCTCAAAAAAAAAAAAAAAAAAAGACAACTAAGAATCTGGCTGGGCACCTCTCCTTGAGGGGGGAAAAAAAAAATTAGCTGGGTGTGGTGCTGTGTGCCTGTAGTTTTAGCTGCTTGGGAGGCTGAGGCACGAGAATCATTGGAGTTGGGGAGGCAGAGGTTGCAGCGAGTTGAGATCATGCCACTGTACCTCAGCCTAAGTGACAGAGTATGACTTTATATTATACTGCCATAACATTTTAATTCAAATAGAATATAACTTAATTGTAAGGGTAATCCCTAAGAGCTTTGAATCATTTTAGAATTCTAAAATGGTAGAGCTGAAAGGTTTTGTATTCTAATAACCACCTGTTTCTTCTGGAGCAGAAATTGGGCCAGGCACGGTGGCTCGCACTTGTAATCCCAGCACTTTGGGAAGCTGAGGCAGGAGGGGAGAGGAGGAGTGGGGAGGGTCCCAGTCAAAATGACTGGAGTCCAGGTATTCATGTAGTCTTTTGCCTCCTGTCTCACCACATTAAATTCTAAAGTTTTTTTAATCTGAATCCTGATTTTGTTTCCTATTGTTAATTTTTTATTTTTATTTTTCTCATTTCAGGCTGGGATAGAAAATCGTCAGCTGGACACAGTAGATTTCTTTCTGAAGAGCAAGGAAAATCTTTTTAACCCATCGTCACAATCTTCTGTACCTGATCAGTTTGATCATTTTTCATCCCATTTATATTTAAGAAGTAAGTAGAATAAAGATTTCTACATTTGTACTTATTTAATCTTAACAACTTGCAAATTATTGCCTTGGGTTTTCCGATGACTCATTTATTTGCCAAAATTTAGTCTTGGGATTTTATATACGTTTTAGAAAGTTTCTTCTTTTTTTTTTTTTTTTTTCTTTTGAGACAGAGTCTCACTCTGTTGCCCAGGCTGGAGTGCGGTGACATGATGAACAACTTACTGCAGCCTCACATCTTGGGCTCAGGCAGTCCTCCCACCTTAGCCTCCCAAGTAGCTGGGACTACAGGTGCACACCACCACCCTCAGCTATTTTTGTAGAGAATGGGGTCTCTCTGTGTTGCCCAGGCTGGTCTGAAACTCCTGGGCTCAAACAATCCTCTGCCCCCCAAAGTACTGGGTTTACAGATGTCAGCCACCATGCCTAGGCAACTTTGTGGAAATTCGACAGTGTTATATTCTATAAATGCTCTCATACTATATGGGCTATGAAATTTCTCCTATCTTATTTAGTACACTGCATTTTTAGCATGCAAGGAAGAGATGATTTTTTCAAATTCAAGAGTTTTATACAGGACAGAAAAACATTTCAATAAAGTTTCTTTCTGTTAAAATCAAAGTCAGCCAGGCGTGATGGCTCATGCCTATAATTTTAGCACTTTGGGAAGGCAAGGCAGGCGAATAACGTGAGGTCAGGAGTTCAATACCAGCCTGGCCAATATGGCGAAACCCCATCTCTACTAAAAATACAGAAATTAACTGGGTGTGGTGGTGTTGCATGCCTGTAATCCCAGCTGCTTGGGAGGCTGAGGCAGGAGAGTTGTTTGAACCCAGGAGGCGGAGGTTTCTGTGAGCTGAGATCATGCCATTGCACTCCAGCTTGGGCAACAAGGGTGAAACTCCACCTCCAAAAAAAAAAAAGCCCCACACACTCTCTCTTGTTTTGAGTGCAGAGTCTGGTCTCCTCTTTCTTGAATTGCCAGCTTTTCTAATGCTCTGATGTTTTAAAAACTGCTTGAATTTCTAGAAAATGGCTTGGTTGCTGGCAATGAGCTGGGCTCCATTAGCAATTGTAGAGTCACTATTCATTTCTGTTGTTTAGTGGTTAATGATTTCTCCTCATTTTATTCTCACCTGCCCTGCTCAGCTCTTAAGGGTGGAGATGGGTCTGGAATGAGAAGCAGTGGGAATAGCCTTAACCTTCCTTAGGGGGAAAACCCGTTTCCCATCATTCTGGTCTCACAGATGTAATCCTAAAGGTGGGGCCAGTGCCAAGAGAAACAGGAATCACTTAATTAGAACCTCAGCTGCAGATAAAACATTCAGGGTCCCACACTTCTTGCTTTCACTTGAATGTTTAACACAGAATAGGTCTGCAATCAGACAGGGTTAAATTCAGATTTTCACCCTGCCACTTACTTTGTTTTTCATTTTCTTTTTCACTCTTGTCCAGGTTGCTGGAGTGCAGTGGCAGGATCCTGGCTTACTGCAACCTCTGCCTCCCAGGTTCAAGCAATTCTCCTTCCTCAGCCTCCTGAGTACCTGGGTTAACAGGCACCCACCAGCACACCTGGCTCATTTTTGTATTTTTAGAAGAGGCAGGTTTTTGCCATGTCGGCCAGGCCGATGTCAAACTCCTGACCTCAAGTGATCCTCCTGCCTTGGGCTCCCTAAGGGCTGGGATTACAGGCATGAGGTACTGCGCCTGGCCCTGTCACTTACTTTATAAATTGGCTCTGGCAAGTTGCTTATCCTCTGAACTTCAGCTTTTTTAATCTGTGGAAAGAGAATATAATATACACCTACCTCTTAAGTTGTTGAAAGGAATAAATGAGATAGCATTTATAAAACACCAAGTACAGTTCTTAAGATGTAGGTGATCAGCAGAAGGGTAGTTAGCAGTGATACCAGTAAATAATAACTATTAATAATTAGAATCATTTAAGATTTCAGGTAATAAGCCTTCATAAAAGTTTTGTGAGCTTTTTAAAAATAAGACATGGATCCTTGTTTTATGTCTTAAAAGATTGTAACATGACATTTTTGATATGTTAATTTTATTGGGAAGATCCTCTTGATCGTGTTAATTTCTTTGGTTCTTTCTCAGATGTGGAAGAGTTGATACCAGCATTGGATTTACTTTGCTCAGCAATTCGGGGAAGTTATTCTGAACCCCAAAGCAAACACTTTTCAGAACAATTGCTTAATCTTACACTGTCTTTCCTTAACAAGCAAATAAAGGAGCTTTTTATTCATACTGAAGGTAAGAATAGCAGCTAGGAACGGGGCAATTCTGCTCTTCCTGCGTCAGAACAGATACAAGTGCTGCTATTGCGTGAGATGGCATAAATTAGTGGCACATTATTTATTATGTTTGAGTAAGGTCAGTTTGTAATTCAGGAAGTGAAATGGGTTTTGATATTGAGAAAGTTGGTAGAAAGACCCAGGACTAATCACAAAGAACAAGAAAAGGAAAGGGTTCTATTAAAATACAGAGCTACTTGCTTGTAAATAGGAAAAACCTCAAACATACTGTTTGAAATTTTAAAATACCAAGTTTGAATTTAGACTTTCTCTAGAATTCTTTTATATAACAGCTCATGGTTTATGCACACATGCACACACACACGCACAAATTGGCACATTGATTTTTTCCACAGAGCTAGATGAACATCTACAAAGAGGAGAGAACATTTTGACTGGCTACATTAATGAACTTCGAACCTTCATGATAAAGTTTCCTTGGAAGCTGACAGATGCTATAGATGAATATGATGTACATGAAAATGTCCCCAAAGTAAAGGAAAGCAGTATATGGGAGAAACTCAGCTTTGAGGTAAGCATGAGTAATTATCACTTCTTTTATTTGCCAGATTCAGAAAATCTGAGAAAACAATAGAAGAAACAGAATTCAGATTCTACACACTTATGATTCAGAATGTTTGGCAAAGGTTTTAGGTTTTATCAGTTTGGGGATCTCTGATTATGACTTCAAATTTATGTCTACAAGCTGCATTTATTTAATTCACAACATGGGTGGGCTCCCGCTTAATGCCAGATCTGCTCACTTGGGTTCAGTAACAAACACCCAACTCTAAACCCATTAGTTTAGTGAAGTGGCAATACTCCCTCATCGGCTCAAGCCTGGTATTTTGAATACTCTTAGCAATACTCCCTCATTGGCTCAAGCCTGGTACTTTGAACTCATGCATTCTGCCTGACATCTAGATAAATTGAATTGCTGCTGCTGATTAGATCTTTGGAAATTTTTATTTTATGACATTATTACTTAGAAGGATATTTAATTTTAATCCTATCTGAAATTGTAATTTAAGACATTTTGCCCAGTTAAATTTTCATCCATCTGTTTGCCTTTTTTCCCCTCACAGTAGAAGTTACAATAATAGAATTAAAATTTACTACTATCTGTGTGACTTAGGGACTGGAAGAATTCCTTCACGCACTGCAGCGTATTGGTATTGGAGAAACAAAAGCTAAAACAGCTTAACACAGATGATCATAATCAATAAGGAATGAAAGTGATAGGATTGAGATGCTGCCAGGTTGTTAAGATTGCTGTTCTTGGGGTGGAGAGATTTGGAAGTACCTACTGTGACTGCATTTTCTGTATCTCTTATTCATTGCCTAACTTTAAAAAGTCAGAAATTCCATACTTTTCCTTCTACTTTTTTGTCTCCTTTTTCCTGTCTCCTTTATAGGTTTCTCTGTTTCCCTCCTCTAATGTTCTGTAAGGCTCTGTCTGTGGTCCTCTTTGTACTCAAAATCACTGATTTTCAACTTTTGCCAGGGCAAGGGGTTATAGTTTACTTTGATAAAAATTGTAGACCCTGTCTGCAAAAGCAGGCATGTGAATGTGTCCATATAGACAAAATTTTATATATGGCTTAATGGGGTTTACAGATGCCTTTAAAGTGTCAGGTTGAGTATGCCTCCTTTCTGTTCTCTCTAGGGTTTAGATCTTCACTTTAAGTATTTCTTTTCACATGGATTATTGGTAGTAGCCTTCTAATGCCTCAGTATCTTGAGCTTGAATCACTTTCAGTCCACTCTCTATATTGCTGCCTGGATATTTTTCCGTAAATATGTATCTGATTACATCACATCTTGCTTTTAAGGTCTTTCAGTGGCTCCACAGTTTTGGGATAAAATCTACCTCATATGCAAGGTTCGTCATGATGGAACCTCTGCTTTGCTTTCAAGTCTCATCTGCTACTCTCTTCAGTTTTTTCTCCAGTTATATTGAGTAATTTGTAGTTCCCTGAAGGCTTGATGCAGTTTCTTTTCTTTGTTCCTCTGCATACGATATTCCCTCTTTTTGGAACACCTGCCCTCTTATCTCAGTATATCTATGGAACAGTTACTGGTCTTTAAATTTTTTTGTCTCATCAGTTACCAGTTACTTCTCCTAGGAAGCCTGTGTCCAGATGGTGGGGGTGGCGCAGGGTGGTGGTCATCCTTCTTATTTAGGTGTTCCTCTTCCCGACCTTCCTCTCTAGCACCCTGGGAGACTTTTATCACAGCCTTTATACAGTACTATAATCAGTGTGTCTTCCAATAGCTCCTGGAGTATAGGACCTTTGTTTTACTCAATTTTATATCCCTTGAACTTAACCCCAAATCTAGTAATAGATTTTAAATATAAGTTTCTTAGTTAGATGCTCAATAAATGTATAAATCTCATGTTGATAATTGTAATAAGGAAATGAAAAGGAACTTAAAAGGCGAACGTTTTTCTTTTCCTAGGAAGTTATTGCCAATGCCATTTTAAACAACAAAATACCAGAGGCACAAACTTTCTTCAGGATGAATAGTCATTCTGCTCAAAAACTTGAGGAGCTGATTGGAATAGGCCTAAATTTGGTCTTTGAGAATTTAAAAAAAAACAATATAAAGGAAGCCTCTGAACTTTTGAAGAATATGGTGAGTAGTATAATCCATAAAGCCTTAAAATGTATTTAATATAATTTCTAGTTACTATAAAATTGATTTATAATTATTTCAAAAACTAAGAAATTTATGTAGTCTTTACTAGGAAATAATGATATTAATAACACTGAGAAGAGCTGTGAGTAGTGGCTTATGTCTGTAATCTCAGTGCTTGAGAGGTTGAGGCAGGAAGATCACTTGAGGCCAGGAGTTCAAGACCAGCATGGGTAACATAGCCAGACCCTGTCTCTACAAAAAATAAAAAGGACATGGTAACTTGCACTTTATATTAGTCTATGCTCATATTGCTATGAAGAACTACCTGAGCCAGGTGTGGTTGCTCCTGCCTGTAATCCCAGAACTTTGGAAGACTGACATGGGTAGATCACCTGAGGTCAGGAGTCCAAGACCAGCCTGACCAACATGGCAAAATCCGTCTGTACTAAACTTACAAAAATTAGCTGGCATGGTAGTGGGCACCTATAATCTCAGCTACTTGGGAGTCTGAGGCAGAGAGAATTGCTTGAACCCAGGAAGCAGAGGTTGCAGTGAGCCAAGTGGTGCCACTGCACTCCAGCCTGGGCAACAGAGCTCAAAAAATCAAGAAATAATAATGAACTACCTGAGAATGGGTAATTTAGAAAGAAAAGAGGTTTAATTGGCTCATAGTTCTGCAGGAAGCAGGGCTAGGGAGGCCTCAAGAAACTTACAGTCATGGCGGAAGGGGAAGAGGAAGCAGGCATGTCTTACATGGCAAGAGAAGGAGGGAGAGAGAGCAGTGGGGAGGTGCTATATACTTTTAAACAACCAGATATCATGAGAACTCGCTCAGTATCACAAAAACAGCAAGAGAGAAATCTGCCCCTTTGATCCAGTCACCTCCCAGCAGGCCCCTCCTCCAAAATTGGGGGTTACAATTCAACATGAGATTTGGGCAGGGACACAAATCCAAACCATATCACCCCTGTAGTCTTAGTTACTCAGAAGTCTGAGGCAGGAGAATCTCTTGGGCCCAGGAATTCTAGGCTGCAGTGAACTACGATTGCACCTGTAAGCAGCTGGTAACAGAGCAAGACCTTCTCTCTAACTCTAAAAAAGAAATAACACTGAGAAATGTTTTGGTACTGAGAACGTTGTTTCTTTTCTTTTCTTTTCTTTTTTTTTTTTTTTTTTTTGAGATGGAATTTCACTCTTGTTGCCCAGGCTGGAGTGCCATGGCACAATGTTGGCTCACCACAGCCTCCCGCTCCCAGGTTTAAGCCATTCTCCTACCTCAGCCTCCCAAGTAGCTGGGATTATAGGCGTGCACCACCATGCCCAGCTAATTTTGTGTATTTTAAGTAGAGATGCAGTTTCTCCATGTTGGTCAGGCTGGTCTTGAACTCCTAACCTCAGGTGATCTTCCAGCCGCGGCCTCCCAAAGTGCTGAGATTACAGGCATGAGCTACCATGCCCAGCCTGAGAACTTTCTTGACGATATTTTCCCCCTAACTTTATTTAGGTATGAGTGATGAAAATTACATATGTTTATGGTATATAATATATTGTTTTGATATGTATTTACGTGGTGAAAAATTATCACAAGTAAGCTAATATGTCTATCACCTCACATAGTTATGTGTGTATATGTGGTGAGAACACTTGAGATCTATTCTCTACAAATTCCAAGTATACAATGTATTATTATTAACTTTTGTCACTATGCTGTACGTAGGTCTCCAGAAGTTATTTAAATCTGAAAGTTTGTACCTTTTGACCAATATCTCCTTTTTTTCCCCTATCCCACAGTCCCTGGTAATATCATTCTACTCTCTATTACTGTGAGTTCAGATTTTTCTTAGATTCCATAAAGAAGTGAGAGCATGAAGAATTTGTCTTTCTAGGTCTGGCTTAGTATAATTTCCTCCATGTTGTTTAAAAAGGCAGGTTTTCTTTTTTTTTTTTTTTTTTTTTTTTTGGTAGAGACATGGTCTCAGTATAATGCCCAGGCTGGTCTCCAACTCTTGGGTTCAAGCAATCCTCCTGCCTTGGCCTGCCAAACTGCAGAGATTATAGGCATGAGCCAACACACTCAGCCTTTCCTTGTATTTTTTAAGGCCAAATATTCTTTTGTGCATATACACCACATTTAGTTTATCCATTCATCTGTTGATAGACACTTAGGTTGTTTCCATATCTCTTGAAGAGGTTTTTAAATGGTGTTTAAAAGTACTATCTGGGCTGGGTGCAGTGGCTCACACCTGTAATCCCAGCACTGTGGGAGGCTGAGACAGGCAGATCACTTGAAGCAGAAGTTTGAGACCAGCATGGCCAACATGGTAAACCTTGTCTCTAGTAAAAATGCCAAAAATTAGCCAGGTGGGTGATATGTGCCTGTAATCCCAGCTATTTGGGAGACTGAGGCACAAGAATCGTTTGAACACGGGAGGCAGAAGTTGCAGTGATCTGAGATCACGCCACTGCATTCCATCCAGCCTGGTGACAGAATGAGACCCTGTCTCAAAAAAAAAAAAAAAAAAAAAGCCGGGCGCGGTGGCTCAAGCCTGTAATCCCAGCACTTTGGGAGGCCGAGGCGGGTGGATCACGAGGTCAAGAGATCGAGACCATCCTGGTCAACACGGCAAAACCCCGTCTCTACTAAAAATACAAAAAAATTAGCTGGGCATGGTGGCGCGTGCCTGTAGTCCCAGCTACTCAGGAGGCTGAGGCAGGAGAATTGCCTGAACCCAGGAGGCGGAGGTTGCGGTGAGCCGAGATCGCACCATTGCACTCCAGCCTGGGTAACAAGAGCGAAACTCAGTCCAAAAAAAAAAAAAATGGAAAGAGAAAAAGTACTCTATTAGAACTGGCACTTTGATTAGGAGGAGATAGTGTTTCTCAAAGAAGACTTCACACATGTCCAAGCATGCACAAGAGCTCATTATTTATTGGAAGACATTCTGTGTTGTTCATATGACCCCTTATGTCTCCACTCGAACTTTCTAGTAAATTAGACCTTTGCTGGGGCTTTATGCTCTGTGGTTTTACTTCATATGAGAAGGGTAAGTCCTAGAAGTAGGGCTCCTAGACTAAGCTGAAATCTAGCTCTAATCTGCATGGTTCGGGTCTTGCCCATGGCAAGTTTCAGGAGGTGCAGAGTAGTGGAAATGTGTGGATGTTTACATTGATCTTTGTTACCACTTGAATCGGCATACCAGATTGCCATCATTTTGGTCCTGTGGTAGCCTAGCATTGCCTTAAATTGTTCTGTGTGCTGCCTTTGCTCTGACAAAACACTTAAGGACTTTAGGGATAGGCAGTAAATACATATAATACATGTAGGAGAGCCAGGCGGGATGGCTCATGCCTGTAATCCTAGCACCTTGGGAAGCTGAGGCAGGAGGATCACTTGAGCCCAGAAGCTCAAGACCAACCTGGGCAACATGAAGAAATCCCATGTCTACAAAAAATTAAAAAATTAGCCAGGCATGGTGGTGCACACCTGCAGCCCCAGCCACTTGGGTGGTTGAGGTGATAGGCTCACTTGAGCCTGAGGATCAAGGCTGCAGTGAACTGTGACCACACCACTGTACTCCATCCTGGGCAACAGAGCAAGACTGTCTCAAAAAAAAAAAAAAAAAAAAAATTAAAATTAAAAAATAAAACTGGGAAAATGAATATTTGAAAGAGGAGATAGCTATGGAATTCTAACAAGATAGATGTCTATCATAGAGTGTTTCTGTATCATATATTTATGTTCAAAATAGTTCCCTTACAAAATGTAACTTTTTTTGGTTTTCTATGCTTATTTTAGGGGTTCGATGTAAAAGACCAATTGCTTAAGATATGCTTCTATACACCTGATAAAAATATACGGAACTTTTTGGTAGGTAAAGATGTATACTCGTTTTCTAGAAAGCCTTGGTGAAAAACTTGGAAGAAAACCTTGAACAACTTTAAGTAATTTTAATGTTCAACTAATATCTAATAAGTAAAAGTGTGACAACCCCTTCATGTTTTTTAATAGACTATTTTAGATTTGTGGTAAAAGAAAATTTGTGTTAACATACATTAACTCAAACGTTCAAAATATAATTCTTGAATGGCATTTTATGTCATAAATTTTTTTAAATCTCTAATTCCCAGTAATACCTTCTTTGATAATCTTAAGACATTATTTACAATTGTGTTTGATTTTTGTAAAGTCACTGCTTTAATTTAATTACTTTTTATTCAAGGTTGAAATTTTAAAAGAAAAAAAGTATTTTTCTGAAAAAGAAAAAAGAACTATAGACTTCGTGCATCAAGTTGAGAAACTTTATTTGGGACATTTCCAAGAACATGTGCCAATCCAGTCATTTCCCAGGTAGTTTGATTAGTTCTCTTTTGATAATATTAAAATACTGTAGATAGTATTTAGTTTGTAATTGTTAGCACAAGCTTCTTATGTGGAACTGAGCCTGCATTCTCCATGAATATAAAATTTATATCAGAAGGGACTCAAGAGTTTTCTGTCTTTGTAATATTTGCATAATCAGTATTATGTGTTCCTCAAAAGAGTTAGATGCTCTTGAGCAGATAAAAAGGAATGATGCCTTTTTCTCCAGAATTAAAAAAAACAAACAAACATTTATATCACTGTTTTTAGGTATTGGATAAACGAACAAGATTTTTTCACGCACAAGTCTGTTTTGGACTCATTCCTGAAGTATGATTGTAAAGATGAATTTAACAAACAGGAACACAGAATTGTGTTAAATTGGGCTCTGTGGTGGGATGAACTAACACAAGAATCCATTCTTCTCCCCAAGATAAGTCCAGAAGGCAAGTGTGGAGAGAGCGTGAAATAAAAACATAATGAATGAGGATTAAATTGGATATTGATATTTTAATATTTCAGTGTGTCTCAATTTTAGAATTCCTTTTGGGAAATAATATTCAGGTTCTTTAAAATGCAAATCAATGCATTAAGACGTCTTCCTTAGAGTTTCTGGAAGGGATTTATAATGTGCTGGTAAAATTTTAAAATATAGTTAAATGAATTGAGATTTCAAGGTTGAGTTTTCATTCCAGCTTCAAAGTGACAATATTTATTTTTCCAAATAGTCTGAGTTTCTTGTGTAAATTGGGGATCTTTGCCACCTGATATAGGGGATCTGGGGCATAACTAACAGTAATCAACAGTAGCAATTCAGAGTAAAATTCAGGCTTACTATTATGGCTGAACTTTTTATTTATTTTAAATTCATTTTTTTTTCTTTTCATCCTTACGCTTTTTTTTTTTTTTGAAAATTTTTTTTTTTTTTTTGGACAGTCTGGCTCTTGTTGCCCAGGCTGGAGTGCAATGGCGCAATCTTGGTTCACCACAACCTCTGCCTTCCAGGTTCAAGAGTTTCTCCTACCTCAGCTTCCCAAGTAGCTGGGACTACAGGCACGCGCCACCATGCCCGGCTAACTTACGTATTTTTTAGTAGAGACGGGTTTCTCCATGTTGCTCGGGCTGGTCTTGAACTCCCAATCTCAGGTGATCCACCTGCCTCAGCCTCCCAAAGTCCTGGGATTACAGGCATAAGACACTGTGCCCAGCCTCATCCTTACCCTTTTGAAACAAAGTTTTTATTAAGGGAAAGATAAGGGAAGAAAAGGGTTAAACAGGTAAGTAAAATGTACTAACTAATACCTAAGTTTAATTTTAATGACCATAGAATTGAAGCAATATCTACCTCTTTGGCTAGAGTATTGATTATAAAATGAACAATGCGACCAGGCTTGGTGGCTCACACCTGTAATCCCAGCACTTTGGGAAGCCGAGATGAGAGGATTGCTTGAGACCAGGATTTCAAGACCAGCCTGGCAACATAGTGAGACCCCTGTCTCTACAGAATTTTTTTTTTAATTACCTGGGGACCAGGCATGGTGGCTCATGCCTATAATCCCAGCACTTTGGGAGACTGAGTCAGGTGGATCACCAGAGGTCAGGAGTTCAAGACCAACCTAGCCAACATTGTGAAACCCCATCTCTACTGAAATAATTAGCCAGGGTATGGTGGTGCATGCCTGTAATCCCAGCTACTTGGGAGGTTGAAGCAGGTTAATTGCTTGAACCTGGGAGGCAGAGCTTGCAGTGAGCCAAGATTATACCACTGCACTCCAACCTGGGTGACAGAGCAAGACTCCATATAAAAAAAAAAAAAAAATTTTACCTGGGCATGGTGGCACATGCCTGCACATGCCCAACATTTTACTTGGGCATCTGAAGTAGGAAGATCACTTGAGCCCAGGAGGTCGAGGGCGCCATGAGTGTACCACTGTACTCCAGCCTGGGCAACAGAGCGAGACCCTGTCTCAAGAAAAGGAAAATAGTAAAAGAAGCAGAGGACCTGAATAATTAATATATTGTATAAATATCTGTGTCCAGATTGTTATATTTACTCATAATTTAGTGTTATGTATCAGTAAACATATTTAAAAATGTGTTTTGTTCTTCATGTAGAATACAAATCATATTCCCCTGAAGCCCTGTGGAGATACCTCACAGCTCGCCATGATTGGTTAAACATTATCCTGTGGATTGGAGAATTTCAAACCCAGCATAGTTATGCTTCACTTCCACAGAGCAAATGGCCGCTTCTGACTGTTGATGTTATTAACCAGAATACTTGCTGTAACAACTACATGAGGAATGAAATTTTGGATAAGTTGGCCAGGTATTGTAACTGTTGAACTAACCCTCAGTGGAAAGAATACAAGGGAAGAGCAAGAAAAAATAATGGTATAGTTTTTCCTTTCAAATGCCATAAATCCAACACAGTATTGTCTCATATTATTATAAAATTTAAAGCACATCTTCTTATAGTGAAGTTTTAAAATCATGTGCATTTGGCTGGGTGCGTTGGCTCATGCCTTTAATCCCAGCACTTGGGAAGGCTGAGGTGGGCAGATCACCTGAGGTCAGGAGTTCGTGACAAGCCTGGTCAACATGGTGAAACCCTGTGTCTACAAAAATACAAAAATTAGTCAGACATAATGCCGGATAACCCCAACTACTCAGGAGCCTGAGGCAGGAGAATCACTTGAACACAGGAGACAGAGGCTGCAGTGAGCCAAGATCGCACCATTGCACTCCAGCCTGGGTGACAGCAAGATTCTGTCTCAAGAAGAAACAAAAAATCATATGCATTTAACATCATGTGGTAGTGAATAAGCTCTCAAGTTTTAGATGCAGGTGTCTTCCAAAACATTTTATGCACTTTGGTATAGAAATGTTAAGTTTCCAGTAGGGCTATAAGGAGCAAGTGACAAGAGCTGAGATGGGGATACCTTAGCATCCAGTCTCTTGTGCTTCATATCACTACATGTGTGCTATGTATGGCCTTGAACTAAGAGAACTGAATTAAGAAATAGTGAGGGGAAGCCAGGTGCGATGCCTCACACCTATAATCCCAGCACTTTGGGAGGTCAAGGCAGGCGGATCACTTGAGGCCAGGACTTAGAGACCAGCCTGGCCAATATGTTAAAACCCCGTCTGTACTAAAAATACAAAAGTTAGCTGGGTGTGGTAGCACACGTTTGTAGTCTCAGCTACTCAGGAGGCTGAAGCACAATAATCACTTGAACCCAGGAGGCAGTGGTTGCATTAAGCTGAAATCAAGCCATTGCACTCCAGCCTGGGCAAGAGAGCAAGACTCCATCTCAAAAAAAAAAAAAAGGAAAGAATGTGAAGATTTTAAACTTTAATTATTCATTTATATGGTTGAATTGAACCATACAAATTTGCCATTTATATGAGTCAAAAGTGGCTCAATATCAACAATTTGATATGGCTCCATTTAATCTATCTTCCTAACCTGTTGAAATGGTAAAAGGAAAGCTAATAACATATGTTAAGTTTCTTAAACATATTTGTATGTATCATTTGCTACTTATACTGATTGGGGTATACTTACAGCTGTATTTTCTTCCCCAATGTAAAGATGTGGAGAGTGAGATCCAGGGAATTTAAATGCTTTGCCCAAGCCAGTTAGTTACAGATTTAAGTCTCCTAGCCCGATTTTCTATTAATTCTTCTCTCCATTGCACTGAATGCTCTTGTTTTTTTTTACAAGTAAATATTACAGAACTTGTTTGTCTACCTAATATTTTGCTTAGCATTGGTTTTTTGTTTTGTTTTGTTTTGAGATGGAGTCTTGCTCTTTCACCCAGGCTGGAGTGCAGTGGCACAGTCTCGGCTCACTGCAACCTCTGCCTCCTGGGTTCAAACAGTTCTCCTGACTCAGCCTCCCGACTAAGTGGATCTATAGGCGTCCGCCATCATGCCTGGCTAATTTTTGTTCTTTTAAAAAAGCTAAAGTATATATGGTTTTAGAATTAGGAAATTAGTAAATTAATAAACTCTATACCACCAGATTAAAGGGGAAAAAATCATACTACCCTGTTAGATACAGAAAAGCATGTGATAAAATTCAGCCTATTTGTGATAAAAACTATTGGCAAACAAAGCATAGATGCAAACTCCTTAACTTAAAAGGGGTATCTAGAAAAATCCTCCTAGCCAGCATCGTACTTATTAGTGAAACATTGTGAGCATTCTCTTTAGATTTGGAGCAAGACAAGCTTACTGTCAACTCTTATAAAGTTGATCTTTAAATACAATGCAGTATTGGTAAAAATCCCGGCCAGTTTGTGTGTGGGGGTAGGGGGAAGGCGTGGATTATGACATGCTGATCATAAATATTTATATAGAAATTAGAGGGTCTGCTGGGTGGGGTGGCTCATGCCTGTAATTCCAGCACTTTGGAGGGCTGAGGCGGGCAAATCACTTGAGGTCAGGAGTTCAAGACCAGCCTGGGCCAACATGGTGAAACCTCATCTCTACTAAAAATACAAAAATTAGCTGAGCATGGTGGCACGTGCTTATAATCCCAGCTATTCAGAAGGCTGAGGCAGGAGGATCACTTGAACTCAGGAGGCGGAGGTTGCAGTAAGCCAAGATCAAGCCACTGAACTCCAGCCTGGGAGACAGAGTGAAACTCCATCTCAAAAAAAAAAAAAAGAAAGAAAGAAAAAGAAATTAGAGGGTCCAGAAGAGCCCTGAGGCCGGGCCTAGTGGCTCACGCCTGTAATCCAAGCACTTTGGAGGCCAAGGCGGGCGGATCACCTGAGGTCAGGAGTTCAAGATCAGCCTGACCAACATGGCAAAACTCAGTCTTTAAAAAAAAAAAAAAAAAAAAAAAAAAGCCCTGAAAGAGAACTTGCCCTACTAGATATTAAAAGTTATTCTAATCTATAGCAGTTAGGACAGTGAGAGTATTGGTGCCAGGGTAGAGAACAGAAGAGTGTGCCTAGAAACAGACATATATCGCATGATCATTTTACATATAACAAAGATGGTCCTGCACAATAATGGGGGAAAAACAATTTTTTTGCAAATGAGGCTTGAATAACTGAATGGCTATATGGGGAAAAAAGTCTAGTTGGTTTCCCCTCTCTACCTCATATTCTACATTAAATCAATTCTAGGTAGATGTTAACACCTAAATGTCAAATGTGAAAGTATAACATTTGGAAAATGCCATCAGTGAATATCTTCACAACCTTGAGAGTAGTAGGATATGCTTTCTAAAAGGCCTGAAGGGGCAAAGATCTGTCACTGAAACCGACAGAGCTGCTTGGCAGGAGTTGTGGCCCTTAGTAGAGGGTGTCAGCCAAGCTGTAGACACCCAGCGCAGAGAGAACCAGAGTATTCCCTCTTATCTCCTAATGGGGCCCTCCCACAAGCTAGAACAGAAGTCTCAGGACACTGAAGTCTTGTAGTGGAACCCACAGAGGTGAGCCTCCAGGAACAGAGTAGGGTGAAGCAGAGTAGAGCTTCAATCTGAGGAGAAAGATACCAGCACATAGGCTTCTCACAAAAGAGGAAACACAAATGACTAATAAACATGAAAAGATTCTCTTTCTCATTTGTAGTTAAGGAACTGCAAATTTATTTTCTCCAAAATTTAGGAACAACTAAAATGGACCTCAGTGATTCACTCATAATATGATGTTGACGAGAAGGATTTTTTTAGATACTCCTTTTAGTTAAGGAAATCTGCATCTATGCTTAGTTTGCCAATAGTTTTTATCATAAATATGGCTAAATTTTCTCAAAGGTAGAGTGGATAAATATGGTATGTGTATACAATGGAATACTTTATGATAATGAAAAATAACAAACTATACCCAGAGGTATCAACATGGATAAATCACACAATGTTGAGTAGAAGAAACAAGATAGAGAACAATACATCCAGAATGTGCTACGTAATACAAAGTTCAATATAGGTAAAACCTTAAATTATTTGGGATTACATATATGTGTAATAAAACTATGAATAAAAGTAAAAAGGTCAGACAGAGTGGTTCACACCTGTAATCCCAGCATTTTGGGAGGCCTAGACAGGAGGATTGCTTGAGTCCAGGAGTTCAAGACCAGCCTGGACAACATAGACCTCGTCCCTACAAAAAATTTAAAAACTAGCTCAGTGTTGTGGCACATGCCTGTTGTCCCAACTGCTGAGAAGACTGGGGTAGGAGGATCACTCGAGCCTTGGAGGCGGAGGTTGCAGCGAGCCAAGATGGCACCACTGGACTCCAGCCTGGGGGACAGAGCAAGACCCTGCCAAAAAAAAAAAGTATGGGAATGATTGTCATAAAAGTCAAGATAGTGGCTACCTCTGGAGGTAGCAAGGGCATGCAATGGGGGAAGAATATACCAAGGGTTTATAATGTTCTATAATTAGGTTAGTGGTTCCATGGTGTTTATTTAAACTCGATATACAGGTATATATTGTATTTACTCCTTTGCTATATATTATATAACAGTAACTTTGTAAAAAGTAGTATTTACATGCAGATTTCTATTCATGTTCAGTAGGTGGTCTATTTAAATTATTGTGATGTTGCATGATTTTATTTAGATACTTTGGTGAATTTCTCAATGTTTAGAGCATCCAGCTTCAAGGGTTAACCACTATTGCCATGCTGGGTAATGGTTTCCATCACAAGCCAAAAAATGGAAATAGCTTGATTTAGGTTTTTAAAATAATAAAGATAACTTGAGACTGTTATTACTACCTTTAAATACTATAATAGTGTAGAAAATTTTATTAGAAATCAGCAAAATATGTGTCTGGAAACATATAGAGTAAGAACTGGCAGCATTAATTTGTAAATGATTATTTTTAAGTAATTGAGACTTAAACTATGGATGTGATTTGGTGGACTCTGAACATAGCAACTTTTTAACCTGCCATCCTGTAAATCTGTCCAATAGGAATGGGGTTTTTCTGGCACCTGAACTGGAAGATTTTGAAAGCTTCCTCCAAAGACTAAGCCGTATTGGAGGTGTAATACAGGATACCCTCCCTGTTCAAAACTACAAGACCAAAGAAGGTTGGGATTTCCATTCTCAGTTCATTCTATATTGTTTGGAGCACAGTCTGCAGCATCTTCTTTATGTCTACCTTGACTGTTACAAGTGAGTACTGAGAATGCATTTGTCCTTGACCAGGCCTTCACATTATCTCTTTGCATATGACTTATCAATGTGACTTTTAGGAAAATAGTAAGCATTCACGTGAGGAATACTGATCTTTTTGAAGCAATTTTCTCCATTTCAACATTTGGTACATCTTTGAATTCAGTGCTACATTCAACAAAATGCTTATGTATTTTTTTGGTGATATTCTGTAGTATCTCTGTTAACCTTTTAAAGACTTGACTTTAGAATACAATGAAAGAAATGCTTTAAAAGGTTTGAGAGGAAGACTCTAAAGTTTCACTTGGAGTTTTCTTCGATGCTTTGATTACCAAGAGAATGCTAAATAAGCTTGATTTCGTAGCAAGGAGTATTTCACTTCAAGGTATATTAGATATGCTCTAAAATTTATATTTACGTAGACACACGCACACAGAGCAAGCAATACATCAGTATGTGTCTACCTATGATCAACCTGCAGAATCATCTGTGACCAGTGTTAATTCCTATTGGGTCAGTAATAACGATAGAAGTAGTCTTTAATAAGTGACTGTTTACAGTGTTGTCACTAAGCTAAGTACTTTATATGCACTATCTCATTTAATCTTTACAAAAACTCCATGGGGTAGTTACTCCCGTCTCCACTTTACAAATGAATCAACAGAATTTGAGAGAGACTAAAGTATCTTATTTAAGGCACACAGCTAATAAGTGGAAGAGCTGATTTAATTCTACTTAATTTTTATTCCAGAGCCCACGTTTGTGCACTCATAGACAACATTTTTATTTTACTTATTTTGTGTAGTAAAGACTAGGAAATGGATGGGCACAGTGGCTCACATCTGTAATTCCAGCACTTTGGAAGTCCAAGGCAAGAGAATCACGTTAGCCCAAAAGTTCAAGACAGCCTGGGGAATGTAGTGTGTTTTCTGGAGTCCCACTCTGTCGCCAGGCTGGCATGCAGTGGAACGATCTTGGCTCACTGCAACCTCCACCTCCTGGGTTCAAACAATTCTCTTGACTCAGCCTCCCAAGTAGCTGGGACTACAGGCATGCACCACCATGCCCAGCTAATTTTTATATTTTTAGTAGAGATGGAGTTTCACCACGTTGGCCAGGATGGTCTCTATCTCCTTACCTCGTAATCCACCCACCTCAGCCTTCCAAAGTGCTGGGATTATAGGAGTGAGCCACCATGCCTGGCCTACTGGGTCTTCCTCTTTACAAAGCAGTAAAAAACCAGCTATGCATAGTGGCACACACCTGTAGTCTCAGCTACCCGGGAAGCTGAGAAGGGAGGATTGCTTGAGCCTGGGAGATCCAGGCTGCAGTGAGCCATGTTCGTGCCACTACACTCCAGCCTGGGCAACACAGTGAGACCTGGTCTCAAAAAAATAAACAGGCCAGGCACAGTGCCAACACCTGTAATCCCAGCACTTTGGGAGGCTGAGGCAGGTGGATCTTTTGAGGTCAGCAGTTCCAGACCAGCCTGGCCAACATGGTGAAACACCATCTCTACTAAAAATACAAAAATTAGCCCCAGGTAGCATTGTGTGCCTGTAGTCCCAGCTACTCTGGAGGCTGAGGCAGAAGAATCACTTGAACCTGGGAGACGGAGGTTGCAGTGAGCTGAGATCATGCCACTGTACTCCAACATGGTCAACAGAGCAGCTCTGGATCTCAAAAAAAAAAAAAAAAAGACTAGGAGTTCCAATAGAAGATGTATTTTTGACATGTCATATTGTTAGTCTTACTTAGAAATGTTTTCCCCAAAGCTACTGGCAAGAGAACAGATTTAAGAGCTGTATTTTCAATGTATGTATTCTGAGCCATAATTCCTCAGTTGTACCCTCTGTAGTTGTGTAAGCTTTTTGTTTTTTATTTGTTTACTTTGAGGCAGTCTCACTCTGTCACCCAGGCTGGAGTGCAGTGGCACAATCATGGCTCACTGCAGCCTCGAATCCCTAGGCTCAAGCAGTTTCCTCACCTCAGCTCCCAAGTAGCTAGAACTACAGGTGCATGCTACCACACTTGGCTTGTAAAAATTTCTTAAAAGCCTCTTACTAAGTTCGAGTATGCTAAAAAGTTTTTGTTGTAAAAACCAGTGAAATATTAAGTATCTTAAAGTACAAGGTATCTATTTATCTGGTAAAGAGTTGACTAACATATGATGTCTCTAAATTCTGTCTCTAAAAGTGTCTGTTTCCAGATAATAAAGCATATGTAAAATATAAGAGTGGGAGTATTTTATGTTATATTTACTTTTTAATTCCAAGATTCTTTTTTTAAATTCTAGTCATCACCTGAGCAAACATGGTTGTAACCATCTTATTCTATATGTTAATCAAATAAGTTTTTTGTTTGTTTTATATACAGACTTAGTCCTGAAAATTGTCCCTTTTTGGAAAAAAAAGAGTTACATGAAGCACATCCTTGGTTTGAATTTTTAGTTCAGTGTCGACAAGTTGCCAGTAATTTAACAGGTAAGCGTATATTGTATTAAACACAGAAACTTTCTTTGGATAAATCACTGGTCTGTTGAATGCTATTAAACTTGTGGACTCTTTAAATAAATTGTTTGGCTGTGGTCAAATATCTGAACGTAATCTAGGCTTGCCCTTTAGATAAGATGCAGAAGGCTAAAAAGGTTAGCTGCCAGCCAGCCAAGAAAAGCTAGATCTGGAGCAAAGAGCTTGTGTTATTTTGTCTACTTCCCCTTAGCATCATGCTCTAGGATTTCTCTTATCCACAGGCTGAATTCCTGCTCTCTGGTAGATTGACACCCTTTTTCCATGAAGAAGTGGTCTGTCTGCCTGTTGTAAATATTTTAGTAAGGAACTCCAAATGGACTTGAAAGAAATCCATAGTATGTATGAGACTGTTGTGTCATCTGCAGTGGAGCTGCCGATGTAGAGGCTTACTCTGGTTGTAATCAGACAGAACAGCCTTGTTACCACTGTGGAGTTAACTGGTGTTATCCCAGAAATATGGGAAAAGGGACAGGCTGAATGACTACAGACAAGGAATGTCAGCAGTCAGTCTTTCAGTTGCATGTAATGTCTAGTTTCTCCAAATGTAGATTTTTTTTTAAATAATGTGGGTTTTGTTTTTTGGTTTTGCATGCTATGCAGTAATGTATGTTTATTTAAAAAAAATTAGAAGACACAGACAACTATCAAAAAGGTAATACTGGCCAGGTGGGTAGCTTGCACCTATAATTCCAGTGCTTTGGGAGGCATAGTAAAAAGGATCACTTGAGGATAGGAGTTGAAGATCGGCCTGAACAACATAGCAAGACTCTATCTCTACAAAAGATTTTTTAAAATTAGTCAGGTGTGGCGACATGCTCCTGTATTCCCAGCAACTTGGGAGGCTGGGATGGGAGGATCACTGGATCCCAGGGGTTAGAGGATGCAGTGAGCTATGATTGTGTCACTCCACTCCAGCATGGGTGACAGAGCAAGGCTCTGTCTCTTTTTTAAAAAATAATTACAAATAAATTAAAAACAAATACTTCCATAGGTAGATAGCCTAGGTACATAGGAAAATAATTACCCATAGGTAACCACTGATAATATTTTAATGTATTTTGTTACAGTTATCTTCACTGCATTTTTTAAAAACCTAGTCTCTATTGTATTTCATTTATACAACAAATATTTATTGAGCTCCTGCCTCGTGGCTGACTATTGTAAGTGCTAGTAGCAAAACAGGAAACATCTATGTTATTACATACTGCTTTTTTGTGTAATAACATGAGAATTTTCCCACCTTCTTAAAGAAAATGGCCATTTTAAATGTTTACATAATATTTTATTGTATGGATATACCTGTATTTAATTTACTATTCTCCCTTTTTCTGACAAGCCATTTTCCATATTTTTCTATTATAAGTAATAGTCTTGAATATAAAATTTTGTCCTTATTTCAGATTATTTTCTTACTATAGATAGGTTTTGGGATATTAAATTATTGGGTCGAAAGTTATTTATTTATTTTTGAGATGGAATCTTGTTCTATCACCCAGGCTGGGGTGCAGTGGCACAATCTCAGCTTACTCTGCAATCCTTGCTTTCCAGGTTCAAGCGATTTTTCTGCCTCAGCCTCCCAAGTACCTGGGACTACAGGCGCGTGCTGCTGTGCCCGGCCAATTTTTATATTTTTAGTAGAGACGGGGTGTCATCATATTGGCCAGGCTGGTCTTGAGCTCCTGACCTTGTGATATTCCTGCCTTGGCCTCCCAAAGTGATGGGATTACCGGCATGAGCCACCATGCCCAGCGGTTATACATCTTTTTAAGGTTCTTATTGTAAGACCAGATTGCTTTCCAAGGGAGTTGTATGATTTTATTATAAGTCCCAGTCTCTACTTGCTCTGAGTAGCTCTAATGCTTGAATGATTTTTTTAAAATTATTACCAATGTGATAGGTGATATATGGCATCTAAATGCTTAATTTGCATTTCTTTGTTGCTAGTGAATTATGTAGTTTTATGTGTCAGGCATTTATATTTTCTCCTTCATAAATTTGTTATTTCTTTTGTCCATTTATCTGTTAGAGTCAGTATTTTTGGCATTGATTTGTATGAGCTCTTTGTTGAGGACAAACTTAGCAACTCTTTAGTTTGTCATTTGTTAAAATTTTTCCCTCAGTTCATTGTTACCTTTCAATTTCGTTTAAACAGAAGTTTTTACTTTTATTTAGAGATATCCTTCATTTTTTCCCTCTGTGATGTTTTCCCATTGCTTTTAAACTTAGAAGGTCCCTTTTTTTTTTTTTTTTTTTTTTTTTAAACTGTGGATAGAGTTAAAAATTTATGTTATTGGCCAGGCACGGTGGCTCATGCCTGTAATTGCAGCACTTTGGGAGGCCAGGGTGAGCGGATCTCGAGGTCAGGAGATCAAGACCATCCTGGCTAACATGGTGAAACCCTATCTTTACTAAAAATACAAAAAATTAGCCTGGTATGGTGGCACGAAATTGTAATCCCAGCTACTCAGGAAGCTGAAGTAGGAGAATCGCCTGAATCCGGGAGACGGAGGTTTTGGTGAGCCAAGATCACGCCGTTGCACTCCCGCCTGGGCTACAGAGCGAGACTCTGTCTCAAAAAAATTGGCATTTTTCTCAAATAATTCTTAATTTAATATATATCCCTCTTAAGGAGAAAAACACTCTGTTTTATTTTCCAGATCCCAAACTGATCTTCCAGGCCAGCCTTGCAAACGCTCACATTTTGATTCCCACTAATCAGGCCAGTGTAAGCAGTATGCTACTGGAAGGACATACCCTCCTAGCCCTTGCTACTACAATGTATGCTCCTGGGGGTGTCAGCCAGGTATGGACAGCGCTTTATAACAAAATAGGACTGATTTTTAAATTTAGCAGAATTATCTATGGATTGTCTGGATCTCAGTTGTTATTAAAATATAACTATATTCAAGTATTTCATTAGATTAAAGAGCAGAGGACAAGGCTGAATTTTAAAATTTAATATCTCAGCCGGGTGCAGTGGCTCCCTCCTGTAATCCCAGCACTTTGGGAGGCCGAAGAGGATGAATTGCTTGAGCCCTGGAGTTTGCAACCAGCTTGGCCAACTTCGTGAAACGCCTTCTCTACTAAAAATACAAAAATACATAGCTAGGCATCGTGGTGCATGCCTATAATCCCAGCTACTCGGGAGGCTGAGGCATGAGTATCACTTGAACCTGAAAGGTGGAGGTTGTAGTGAGCCGAGATGGCACCATTGCACTCCAGCCCGGGCTACAGAGTGAACTCCATCTCAAAGAAAAAAAAAAAAAAAGAAAAGAAATGTATGTCATCTTCAGTTCAAAGGGAATGAAGCCAGGCATGGTGGTTCACGTTTGTATTCCCAGCCCTTCAGGAGGCCAAGGTGGTTGATCACTTGAGTCCAGGAGTTTGAGACCAGCCTGGGCAACATGGTAAAACCTCCGTCTCTACAAAAAAAAAAAAAATCAAAAAATTAGCTGGCCATGACGGCATGCTCTTGTAGTCCCAGCTACTTGGGTGGCTGAGGCAGGAGGATCGCTTGAGCCAGGGAAATCGAGGCTGCAGTAAGCCAAGATTACACCACTGTATTCCAGCCTGGGTGACAAAGTGAGACCCTGTCCCATAAAAAAGGGAGGGGGGAATGAATATGTTATATAGAGTTTTTTTTTTTTTTTTTTTTTTTTTTAGTTTGTTTTCCAATATTCCAGAATACAATTAAGATCTGATTGCTTCCAGGAGTAAGAATACTTTAGATCTATGACTTAAGAATTATTCTCTACTATTTGCCCTCTTAGATCAAAGGAAATCATAATCTTCAGCTACCCATAAACTCTGTTGTGGGTTCCTAGTGGAAATGTGCCCATCTTTGCTTTTTAGAAGTAGAGTTGCTTGTTTAGAGGGCAGTTAAGAGTGTTTAATATCTAATCTTCAGAAGTTTCTTACTGGTGGTAGCTTAACTTAATACCACCTTTTTTAGATTGCTGCAGTATACCTTAACTTACGCAAATATTTATTCCTCTATTTTTTATCACCTGTCTGAAATTAGAGTCACAGGATAACTTTAGAGTTCAGTGAAAAGTCATCTAGTTGAGTAGTTTGTAAACACTTTAAAAGATATATTAGTGAATTAAATATTGGCAGAGCCATTTTTCACTTTCTTCACATACAACTTGAAAACCACTGATCTAGCTGAACTTCCTAATTTTGCAGATGTGGAAACAAAGACCTGATATTAAATATCTAGCCAAGATCACATAGTTAGTCTTAGAACCAGAACTAGAACTGTTAACTTATAACTACTTGTCTAGTGCTATCTTCGCTACCACATACTCTCTCAAGCTAATCTTCTTCCACAGAGTTCTTGGGGAAAAAAGACTAACTTTGAGAAGGGGAAAATGCTACTCTCCAACCTGTTATCTGTCTTTTTACTTAGGTTGTTCAGAATGAAGAAAATGAAAACTGTATGAAGAAAGTGGATCCCCAGCTACTGAAGATGGCATTAACTCCTTACCCCAAGCTAAAAACTGCTCTTTTCCCACAGTGCACTCCTCCTAGTGTCCTGCCATCTGATATTACACTCTACCACCTTATTCAGGTACAGTATTTAGGTGGCTAATATTTGGGTCTATCAGAGTTCAGCCAGGAATACAGAAATCACTCTAGGTCTTTCAACTGGGGAGCATTTAATGTAGGGAATTACTTATACAGCATAATAGCAGAACAGAGAAACCAAACATGTGATAGTGAGGCAAACCAAAAATAGCAAAATAGGCAAGTCATCATCACCCCTAAGCCTGCAAGAACAATGCAAAAAAGTGATGTTACCAGAACCCAGAAGGTGGAGCCATCTCTGGGAGCTAAATTAACAACCAGGCTGCCTAATGGGAACTGGGAGCATAGAGTGTGGGGGTAGAAACTTGGTGGAGTTGCCCCAGGAAAACAAAGAATGGGGAGAGTATCTTGGCTGCTTCCTTTTTCCCATCTTTAGTCTCCCACAGTGTCTTTTGTGGCTATATTTATCTGGTAGCCAAAGGGGCAAAGGAGCTTGGGAAATACAGCTTCCTGCAATGCTGAGCAGAGTGGGAAGGGTGGAGGTGGGTCAGAGCAAACAGTTGACTAACATACCTGTCTGCTGCTTTCATCAAAAGTCTCTCCATTATGCCACTTTTAACTTCTAACCATCTCTTCTCAGTGAATCAGGGATGTTTGTTTAAATCAATGCTTTCTAATCTTTTTTGAACCTCTAAGAATGTGAGAAAGCTATAAACCCTCTACCCAGAAGAAGTACACATATGCGTATAATTTTACCTACATTTCAAAGTGATTCACAGACTCCCTGAAGCCTATTCAGGGATCCTGGGTTAAGAGTACCTTCCTTTTCCCATTTCTCATTTTGAAAGGCTTTTCCTTTTTTCCCTGAATACACATATTCTCATAGTATCTTCAACTCAACATAAGGTTTATAATTCTATAACGGGGCCAGGTGCAGTGGCTCATGCCTATAACCCAACACTTTGGGAGGCCAAAGTGGGTGGATCACTTGAGGTCAGCAGTTAGAGACCAGCCTAGCCAACATAGGGAAACCCCATCTCTACTAAAAATACGAAAATTAGCCAGGCATGGTGGCATGTGCCTATAGTCCCAGCTACTCGGGAGGCTGAGGCAGGAGAATGGCTTGAACCTCGGAGGCGGAAGTTGCAGTGAGTCAAGATCACACCATTGCACTCCAGCCTGGGTGACAGAGCAAGATTATGTTTCAAAATAATAATAATTCTATAAAAGCACAAAATCTCTTACTGTAGTGTGAAGACTTCTTAGTGTATCAACTGGTGCTGCTCAAAATTGTGGCCAGCACTTGTAAACTGCTTGTTGCTGGAATGTGGTAAGATTAGTATCTTGCACCAAAATGTCTGTCTGCTGTGTCACTAAGTACACTGTTTAGTTCAGTAGGGGTTTTTTTGTAGCAAGAATTTCTTGGAGATGGAAGCAGTATTCTGGATTTATACTGACATAAGTGTCTCGTCTTGTTTTAGACCACCACTTCAGGTTGCACTGGTACAAATGATAAGTGGATTATGTAAAAACATAGTTTCACTGGGACAGCACAGGTCACAGATGCCCCTGTGTCTTGTGTTTTTCCCAGGCAAACAAAACAAAAAAACATAATTTCACTATGTAAAGGAGTTTGAATCAGCTCGAAACACAAGTGGTTTCACGTTCTTTTTTCTGTTTTTAGGTGGACTTAATTTTTTTAGTGGTTATTTTAGGAAAAGTATTCCTTCTTTAATAGATCACAACTTCTTCCTTAGTTTTAAATGAAAACTACTCTTTTTTGGGGCCATCCAAATCCTGACTTAATAATTCTGTTTTTTCCTGTATTCTTCCCACCAGCTGTTGATGAACTTTGCTAAACATTTAGCCTGGAAAAATTCCAAACAACCACTACTTGCTGCTGGCAAACCTTTTCTGATTGACTTGACCTTGGTCTGCTATTTTTTTCTTTGTTGTTGCTCATCACATTCCTTCAACCATTTATCTTGTTTTTTCTTTCTTTTTTCCTTTTCTTCTCTACCCTGCTTCTAGCTCATCTTGTCATGTTTACATGGTAACATTTTCTAGTCTTTTAGCCCTCTTGGTCTTTTATTCCAAAAGCATTTCTGAAGCCCATTTTACTTTATAATTGATGCTTCCTCCACCAAAAGAGAATAGACTTTGCAGATGTAGTTTGACATAAGGAGAGTCTTTAAAAGGAACATAACCAGTTCTATTTTAATTAAAAATATAAAGCTCTCTTTTAATTCTGTTTTTAGCTGTGTTTAAAGAATTTATGTCCAGAATGACAAGCCTGAAATTGCCTTGGAAAAGGGGGAGCAGACTACCTCTAAAGTCCTTTCATGTAATTTTGTTTACCTATTTTAGAATCAGTGAACTTCTAATTTTGTTTAACTTTTCCCCTTTTTTTCAGTCATTATCACCCTTTGATCCTAGCAGATTGTTTGGCTGGCAGTCTGCTAACACACTAGCTATAGGAGGTAAGTCATCATGAGTACTTCTTGAGACGTGTTTTAGCAATGTTAACTATAGAAGTTAATATATGTAAGGCCAATCTAGTTTTCTCATTGCTTTTTATTTTAAAAGTAAAGGTGTATTCCAATGGAAAAATAGTTTGCAGAAGACAGAATTGAAAACATATGGTGCGTTAAAAGTCAATGTATTAGGTTATAGTGCTGTACTTGCTGAGAAACGTAATATGTAACTATTTGCTTGTATTTCTTTCTTTGAAAAAATTATTCTTAATTTCCATCATAGTATCTTAAAGATTAAGGGCATAAGTGTTAGCATTAAACAAATCCTGGCCCTACTATGTAATTAATACCTGTATGACCTTGATCATGTGATCTAACTTCTTTAATTCTCTATAAAATAAGATTAATCACAGTGACCACCTAACACATTACCATGAGAATAAAAGGAGGCAAGGCATTTAAGCACCAGATTCACACACATTGCTGTCTTATAAAGACCATAAGACTTTCTCTGATTTATTTTTTTCTGTTCTTAAACTCTGTTTTTTCTGTTTCTCTTTTATCTTTAATATCATGTTACCTATGGTGCCTCTGCCTTTATTACACTAAATTAGGCTTTGCATTAGTACTTTGTACCATAGTATGTGCCCCACATATACTTATTGACATACACAAAAACGAATTTCTTTTTTTTTTTTTTTTTGAGGCGGAGTTTCACTCATGTTACCCAGGCTGGAGTGCAATGGCGCGATCTCGGCTCACCGCAACCTCCACCTCCTGGGTTCAGGCAATTCTCCTGCCTCAGCCTCCTGAGTAGCTGGGATTACAGGCACGCACCACCATGCCCAGCTAATTTTTTGTACTTTTAGTAGAGACGGGGTTTCACCATGTTGACCAGGATGGTCTCGATCTCTTGACCTCGTGGTCCACCCACCTCGGCCTCCCAAAGTGCTGGGATTACAGGCTTGAGCCACCGCGCCCGGCCTAAAAACGAATTTCTTAATGTATGTTCTACAAGTTCATTCTGATATAGAATTTACCTAATACCCAGAATCCAGTATATGCCAAGCCTATAATAGATGTTCAGTAAATATTTGTTGAATGCTGAAAAAAGTAGTGCTTATTGCATTATCAAATAGAAATACCCTTTATCAGTGAAGTTACTAGAGAGTAGACAAAATCCCCTCTTCTGTTGTGATGGCTCCAGCTCTTGTCACTTAGGTGGCAACTTGACCTCTTCTTGGAGATTGAGCACTCTGCCAGGTAGAGTAGGGGCACAGAGAAGTTGAAAGCATGTTCCCTGCTGTTTTTGGAAGTTTAAAACATATTTGAGGAAATAAAGCACAAAGCAAATGAAACTGTTATGAAAATATAATACATATTTATAAAATTGGAAAAACTGTATTTAATTAGAATGTTCACTTCTTTTTTCATATGGTTTTACTGCTGAACAGGGATGTAAGAAGACTGTGTGGTGACTCGGCTTCTGCACCAGGCCAGAGTAAAATTTCCTTTTAGATTGAATTTTCCCTTATACACAGTCTCCACACTAAGCCCCAAACTGCTAAAAAAGTATGGTCCTATTTGAATAAAAAACTCAAGTGTACTCATTTCAGTACTTACTGTATTCCTTACACACACACAGCAAATATTTAATGAACGGCTTTATATGTAATACAAGTTGCCATAGTCACTCTGTTCTCACAGAAATACAAATAGGGCATGTGACAGTTTGTTAGTCTCAAAGAGGGAAATGTATTTTGAAGTAAGACCTTTGTAAGATGACAGATACCTCCAGGGTCTTCAAGCATTTTTTTTAGGAATCAGGTCACAATATGAAAAGTCCTTGGAATTTCATGAGAAGGTACAACTTTATTTGAGAAATAAGCTTTGACTTCGAAAACAAGAGCAGATATACTGTTTTCCAGAACTGGTTTCTGGAACCAGATCCCAATGTTGTCTTTTTTGAAAAATAGGCAGTAAGTGGTTAAGAGACAATTGAATAGTACATGACAGGAATGGCTATTTCATTCTAACTGGAGGGCTGACTCCAGTTAGAATGAAATAGCCATTCCTGTCATGTACTATTCCTTGGGTTCCGCATCCAAGGATTTAACCAACCTGAGATGGGAAATATTTGGGAGAACAAACGAACAATTAAAAAAAAAATAGAACAATAAAAAATACCAATTTAAAAATACTGTATAACAACTATTTACATAGCATTTATATTGATGAGATATTATAAGTGATCTAGAGTAATTTAAAGTGTATGGGAAAACATGCATAGCCTATATATAAATGGTATGCTATTTTACAGGGACATGAGCAGCCATCTGTGGATTTGGTATTCAAGGGGTTCAGGAACCAATCCCACATCGATACTAAGAGATGACTAGACTCACATCAGAACATCTTCTGAGTTCAAATTTTTCTAAAGAGAGACACTTTTGTTCTGATATTTTCTTGGGTTTAGAGGAACTTTAAACTAAGCTATTCTGCTGGTCTTATTAATAGAAAAATGGTACCATCTTTCTAAGATATTCATGCTCTATATTAGAAAGTAAGTGATAACAAGTGGAGATTATAGAAGGGTAATCAGTGTAGAGGAAAAAATGTTCTCAAATTATTACCTGTTGGAGGCCAGGTGCAGTGGCTCATGCCTGTAATCCTAACACTTAGGAGGCTGAAGTGGAAGGATTGCTTGAGGCCAGAAATTCAAGACCAGCTTGGACAACATAGCAAGACACTGTCTCTACAAGAAATTAGCCAGGCATAGAAGATAAGGGTCAAGAAGGTGAAAGAAAAATTTGAAAATTAGCCAGGCATGGTCATGTGTGCCTACAGTCCTACAGGAGGCTGAGGCAAGAGCATTGCTTGAGTTAAGGAAGTCAAAGCTGCAGTGAGTGTGGTCATGCCACAGCTCTCCAGCCTGGGCAACAGAGCAAGACCCTGTGTCCAAAAAAAAAAACCTATTGGAGAAGGAAAAGTGAGTTGGCTTTGGTGAATAGAGGACTCACGTAAGTATATTAAAAGGGATTTTGTTGCATAATGACCTTTGTGAATGAATTTAAAAGCTGTTTTTGCAGATATTTAACAGATTTTTTTTTTTTTTTTAATGGAGTCTCACTCTTGTTGCCCAGTCTGGAGTGCAATGGTGTGATCTCTGTTCACCACAACCTCTATCTCCTGGATTCAAGCAATTCTCCTGCCTCAGCCTCCCAAGTAGCTGGGACTATAGGTGCCTACCACCATGCCTGGCTAATTTTTGTATTTTTATTAGAGAAGGGGTTTCACCATGTTGGCCAGGATGATCTTGATCTACCGACCTTGTGATCTGCCTACCTCAGCCTCCCAAAGTGTTGGGATTACAGGCGTTAGCCACCATGCCCGGCCTCTGCTCCATTTTTCTGTGTATCTGTTTTTATGCCCATACCATAATGTATTACTTACTATATCTTTGCAATAGATTTTGAGAATAGGTAGTGATGCCCCTAGCTCTGTTTTGTTCTTTTTGCTCAGGATTGGTTTGCCTGTTCAGGGTCTTTTGTGGTTTCATATGAATTTTAGGATTGTGTTTTCTATTTATGTGGAAAATATCATTGGAATTTTGATAGAGATTACAATAAATCTATAGATAGCTTTGTATAGTATGGACATTTTAACAATTTTAATCTTCCAATTCATGAACTTGGGCTGTTTGTATCTTCAATTTCTTCTGTAATTTTTTTTTTTTTTTTTGGAGACAGGGTCTCATTCTGTTGCCCAGGCTGAAGTGCAGTGGTGTGATCATAGATCACTGCAGCCTCAACCTCCTGGGCTGAAGAGATTCTCCCACTTCAGCCTCCCAAGCCCTCCTCAGTAGCTGGGATTACAGGCATGTGCCACCATGCCCAGCTAATTTTGTACTTTTCGTAGAGACAGGACTTCTTCATGTTGGTCAGGCTGGTCTTGAACTCCCATCCTCAGGTGATTTGCCTGTCCTCCCAAAGTGCTGGGATTACAGGCGTGAGCCACCACCCCAGCCTCAAATACACGCTTTTATAACTCTAAAGCCCTATTACCTCCAAGATAATAGACTTGTCAGACTAAAGACTTCCATCCCTGGAAACAGTGTCCTCAAATGAAATCAGTGGGACAACTTCTAAAGTTACTACTTTTTAATCAGTTTTACACATTCAGCCAGAATGGCTCTAGCTCTCCCACAGTTCCCAAAATAAGCATGTAGATTGCCTCTAAGGAGATACTTCTGTGTCTGCCTTCTTATTTCCCCAGCAAGTGCTCCTCCATTGGTTTAGGGATGTTACAGATACTGGGATATAGATATAGGGATGTCATAGATACGGCAATTCTCCCTGCAGTCATGCATTAGCATCTGTAATAACAGATGTAATGAGCTGTGGACAGAAAGTCTCAAATGGAGAGAAGACATCCCTCTGGACCCTAGTAGTCACTATGCCTTATTCCACTGGCAGCCAGACCCTCCCAGGCCTCTGCCAAAGCTGGAGTTCAAAGATGGCAGCGTTCATAGGAGGAAGATTCCCTTAAAATATCATGGAGCACTCCAGCTGGCACAGCCCTCCAAGATCATCTAGCCCAATTTGCTTATTTTACGTATGAGGACACAAAAGCCCAGAGAGGAGAGATTTCAAAGTACTCAGAAGGTTAGAGACAGGCAGCTCTAGAGTACTAATTGTGGATCCTAAAAGAGTCTCTCAACAGAAACAAAGCTACTAAAATTACAGGTAAGTTTAGTAGGAAGGTAGGAGGAGCATCATTTCTTACCAGAGTTTTTATGCAACTTCTGAAGTACACATCTTTATATAAAATGAAGGCTACCTCTACACGTTGAAGTAAAATAAAATTATTAGACTTTGGTAGGTTCAAAGTGATACATAGTGATGCAAAATGATTATAGCAACCAGAGAGTTAAGTTTTCCATGTGAAAATCTGAAATTACTCATGGTGATGTACAGGGAATTAATAATGTTTCACTTTCCCCCCAGATGCATGGAGTCATCTCCCACATTTCTCTAGCCCTGACCTGGTTAATAAATATGCTGTAGTAGAACGTCTGAATTTTGCTTATTACTTACATCATGGACGACCATCATTTGCGTTCGGTACTTTTCTGGTCCAGGAATTAATCAAGAGCAAGACTCCCAAGCAGCTGTGAGTATTTAAAATATAATTTTTGCTGGGTACAGTGGTTCACACCTGTAATCCCAGCACTTTGGGAAGCAGGAGGATCACTTGAGCCCAGGAGTTCAAGGAGTCAGTGAGCTATGGTCTCGCCACGGCACTCTAGCCTGGGCGACAGTGAGACTCTTCTACTAAAAAAATAATATATAATTTTTATTATTAAAAAAGGCATATTTGTCTAACATTTTACACATACATTGAAAAACATACTGGAAACATACCACAGTTAACAGTGATTACATTTGAATGGTGATTGTTGTTATGGTTTTAATTTGTGCTTCCTTGTGTGTCCCAAGTTTTTGGCATTTAGTGTATGTGATTTCTGTTAATTGGAAAAAAGATAAATGTATTTTGAAAATTAATAAAATTTAAAATCATACAGGAGCTTGTCAAGTATTAGCAGTTTAAGAGGGAATTCCAGGGGAGGGTTAACATTAGGACAAATACCTAATGCATGCAGGGCTTAAAACCTAGATGATAGGTACAGCAAATGCGTTGATAGGTACAGCAAACTACCATGGCACATGTATACCTATGTAACCTGCACATTCTGGACATGTATCCCAGGACTTAAAGTAAAATTTTTTAAAAGGGGAATTATATGATGAGATTTGGATTCTGTATTTAATATCTTTAAATAATTCATTTAATTACTCATTTTTATAAAGCACAGAATTCAGAAGAGGATTTACTGTAACAGCTAAATACAGAGTTCTTTTATTAGTTTGTTTTATCACTAACAAAGTAATACTTTTTTTATAGTAAGATATTCAGGTAGTTCAGAAAGGTGAAAATGAAAGATAAAAGTCTCTCAGCCTCCCTTTCCACATGGTAAAAGCATGGTTAATAATTTCTTGTGTGTCTTTCCAGAAATTTTCTATTCCTATAAAAGGCCTATATGAGTTCTTTAAAATGTGCTTTATAATGTCAAACTTAAATTTAAGTGGCTTTAATATTCTTGGTAGTTTGTATACATACTCATAATTGATAAGATCACAAGTTGGCAGTCTTTCAGAAGTTGTACTTCATGTCTTTTGAATGAAGTTGGAAGCAAGAATAATTGAGACTATGACTAATTGTTTTAGAAAATCAACTTAAGAGAATGGGGGGCTCTTGTGCCAAATGACAACGGACAACTACCAGAAACCTAAACGAGTCCATGCAAGGGGCAAAAGGGCAGGGGGAAGAAGCCAAAAATCACATGGCTGGCACTCCATGTGTCACTGATGTAATTCCATTTGCTTTTCCCAGTGAGAAATAATTTTCACGTGCTGATGTGATATTCCTTTCTTTTTCAGGATCCAGCAAGTAGGCAATGAAGCCTATGTTTTAGGGCTCTCCTCCTTCCACGTACCTTCAACAGGAGCTGCATGTGTCTGTTTCTTAGAATTGCTTGGACTTGACAGCCTCAAGCTCAGAGTTGATATGAAAGTAGCCAATATAATTTTGAGCTACAAGTGTAGAAATGAAGATGCTCAGTACAGTTTTATCAGAGAGTCTATAGGTACAGCACCTTTTCTTTATCTGGCCAGCTCTGTTTAGAGAAGGCGTGAATAGGTCTAAGGCATTGAATTGTGAGTGCTTGAGGAGAAAATGGTTATCTTCCTCATTTTATCCTTTTCCTTCAGAGTGTGTTTTCTTTATGTCACTTTCTTGGGCGTGTTGATTGGGTTCTGAAGTGGCCCTGAGCCACACTATTCAAACAAACGCTCAGGTTCTGACTTTGTCTCTTGACCATATTTTGTTGCTTCTATTTCTTACAGCTGAAAAACTGTCTAAACTAGCTGATGGTGAAAAGGCAACCACAGAAGAATTGCTTGTTCTCTTAGAAGAAGGTACATGGAACAGCATTCAGCAACAGGAAATAATGAGGTTTGTGAGTTGCAGTCCCAGCCTCTTTTCTAACAAGCTTATTGTGCCAGCCTGTGTTTGCCTCGTTTTTCTTTGAACACCTCTGGTGTATTCACCAAAATCTCCCTAGACGTTACCTTTTTTATCTAGCATATAGCAGATACTCAGTAAATGGACAATGATTTTGATTGCATCTTGCTATCAGTGAAAGAGAGTGAAGATACCAATTCCCTCTTTAGAGATGGACTTACCAAGAGACGGTGAGCAGCTTTGTCTCCTCCACTGCCCTGCTAGTCAAAGAAGTCTTTTAAATTATACATGTTGAAATGCCAGAAGACATGGGTTCAGATGTCTTGGAGGATTGGAAAAAATGAAGGAGAAGAAGAGGATGATGTGGGATGGGTCTCCCAAAATTTGACATTAAATGATGTTCTTAATTTTTTCTTTTTAGTATGTCAGTTGATAATTGAAGCTGAAGCGACTGTACATAAAAGCATATCTTACACTTCATGCCTTCTTTTCTCTCTGCTGCCCCACTGGGGCTGACCTAACCATTCCAGACCCTGAGAGTGCACGCTTTTTATGTACATCTTGTCACTGATTCTGTTCTTGCCAATATCCTGCTTGCAGCAGGAACCATGTACCCTCCCCCTGGTGAGGAGGCCCAGGCACCAGCCAGGGCTCTGAGTACTCTAAAGTGAATAGTGCAAGAGAATTAGCACTCAGAAAATTTCTTCACAAACATCTTCTTCAGTTTTTCGAAGATGCTACACAGCCAGTGTGATTGATGAATTGGAGAAGGAATCAATTGTGCCAGTATGCTAAGCTAGCTATTCTGCCTTATGGGTGAATGAATCTACTTTTTTCAGAGTAGCCTAATAAATATTAGTATTTGTTAGAGAATGTACTGTACTTAAATTTATATAATTTTTACTCATTTTCCAGTTCAAACTAAAGCTGTATTTTTATGAGTTTTTTTTTTCTTGACCACCCCCAACTCTAATTCTAATTATAGGTTATCCGGTGAATCCAGCAGCCAGTGGGCCTTAGTGGTACAGTTCTGCAGGCTACACAATATGAAACTGAGCTTGTCTTACCTTAAAGAATGTGCCAAAGCAAATGATTGGCTGCAGTTCATTATTCACAGCCAACTCCACAACTACCACCCAGCAGAGGTAAGCCACTGATTGTTAGTAGTCACTCAAGAGGAAATAGGAAAACTTCTCAGAAGATAGTGTTCTTTCTGCTGTGTAGACATAGGCCTTTTTTTACATCTAGGATATATACTGGATATGTGGGGTTTTGTTTCATATAATACTATTTTTCCTAAGATTTCAGTGGGTTGTCATCAGATAAGGTACTAGTCATTAGTACTGAAGAGCTGAAAGGTTTTTGTGACTTCAGATTCAATATGGAAATTCACTCAAAAGCACCACACAACTTTGTAAAATTATATAGTAGTCACTTCTGACTTAGTTCAGGGTGAAAAAGAATAATTTTGCCTTTGCTTTTCTCTAACATTTTCAGCTCCAGTTGAAACTGAAAGTTGAGTTTCTATTTAATCATGTGATATGCTTTCTAGGTGAAATCCCTTATCCAGTACTTCAGCCCAGTTGTTCAAGACCACTTAAGGCTGGCTTTTGAGAACTTGCCCTCAGTGCCCTCCTCCAAAATGGACAGCAATCAAGTCTGCAATAAGTCCCTGCAGGAACTCCAGGGAAGCAAAGAAGAGATGACGGATTTATTTGGAATTCTGCTACAGTGTTCAGAGGAGCCAGACTCCTGGCACTGGCTTCTTGTTGAAGCAGTGAAACAACAGGCCCCTATCCTCAGTGTTCTGGCCTCATGTCTTCAGGTGAGGATCATGAGGACCCTAAATTAAGTACCCAGACAACAATAGAATAAGTGTTGGACAGGAAAGACTGATCATCAGAAGTGGGATGTGGTTCCAGTATGTGTTTCCAAGTTGACTGCAACTTTTTGTGCTTCTCTAGCTTAGGCTCTGGGCCATTTCATGTACTTTCCTGTGCTTTGACGTTCAGTGAACTCAAGTGATCAAAGCCTTGGTTCCTGGTTGGCAGTCACAGAGGAGGATGATTTGGTGGACTGACCACTACTGTTTCTTTAGTGCCTTCTTTAGCAGGGAGGAGGAACATTCCAGACAGTCCTTTAATCAGCAGATGAGTGGAGGGCAATTCTACTCTCATGGTTAGTACTTCCCTGACTTGGACATATATCCCCTTCCGTCTGCTTCTTGGTCTTTTGATCTGCAATACTCTGCAGGACAGTTTAGAACGTTCCCTTGATTGCTCACTAGTTTGTTTCATGTTTGAAGGCTTTTCAAGCCATTTTAACTAATTTAAGTTGGGTAAGTTATTCCAAACAGGAAATACCCATCTGTAGCATTCGTACATTTGCCAGGTAATCCAGGCCTAGTTGTTATTTTATTTATCTCGTGGCAGGATGCCAGTGCTGTTTCTTGTCTCTGTGTTTGGATCATCACTTCTGTGGAGGACGGTGTTGCAGCTGAAGCAATGGGACACATTCAGGACTCAATAGAGGACCACGCCTGGAACCTTGAGGACCTTTCAGTCATCTGGAGAACATTATTAACAAGACAGAAGAGTAAAACTCTCATCAGAGGTTTTCAACTTTTCTTTAAGGTAGTGATAGTTGCTTCACTTTCCAAAGCTTAAGGGGTTACTTCAGCATATCCCCTCTTGGCTTTTTCTTATTTCCCTCCCTTGATTTTTTTTAGCCAACAATAGATGATGACGATAATATTAAAAGTATCGTTTACCTGCCTGGGCACAGTGGCTCACACCTGTAGTCTCAGCACTTTGGGAGGCTGAGGCAAGCGGGTTACTTGAAGTCAGGAGTTTGAGACCATCCTGTCCAACATAGTAAAACCCTGTCTCTACTAAAAATACAAAAGTTAGCTGACTATAGTAGCGCAGGCCAGTAATTCCAGCTACTTGAGAGGCTGATGTAGGAGAATTGCTTGTACCCGGCAGGTGGAGGTTGCAGTAAGCCTAGATTATGCCACTGGATTCCACCCTAGGTGACAGAACGAGACTTCATGTCAGAAAAAAAAAAAAGGACCATTTACTTAGCAAAGTCTTATTTATTTTATTTTTTGAGACAGAGTCCCACTCCTGTCACCTGGACTGGAGTTCAGTGTCACAATAAGGCTCACGGCAGCCTCAGCCGTCAAAGCTCAGGTGATCCTCCCAACTCAGCCTCCCAAGTGGTTGGGACAGCGGACACATGTCAGCATGCTTGGCTCTGGTTTTGTTCTTGTTGTTGTTGTTTGGTTTTGTATTTTTAGTAGAGACAGGGTTTCATCATGTTGATCAGGTTGGTCTTAAACTCCTGGGCTCAAGCAGTCCTCTTGCCTCATCCTTACAAAGTGCTGGGATTACAGGCATCAGCCACCTCACCTGGCCCAGGGTGCTTTTTACACATTATTTTAGTGAGTTTTCACAATAATCCTATGTGAAAATAATATTAGAAATTATGGGCCAGGCACAGTGGCTCACACTTGTAATCCCAGCACTTTGGGAGGCTGAGGTGGGTGGATCATTTGAGGTCAGGAGTTTGAGATCAGCTTGGCCAACATGGCAAAACCCTGTCTCTACTGAAAAGACCAATAAATATCCAAGTGTGGTGGTTCATCTGTAATCCCAGCTACTTGGGAGGCTGAGGCACGTGAATCACTTCAACCTGGGAAGTGGAAATTGCAGCGAGCCGAAATTGTACCACTGCACTCCAGCCTGGGTGATAGCAAGACTGTGTGTCTCAAAAAAAAAAAAAAAAAGATTATGAAGTGATATTGCCCTCATTTTACAGACTAATAAATAGAGACTCAGAAAACTTAAGTAACCTACCCAAGGTCTCAAAATACTTCAGTAGGCCTACTAAACACTTTAAGTGTCTCACACCTGTAATCCCAGCACTTTGGGAGGCCGAGGCGGGTGGATCACCTGAGGTCAGGAATTCAAGACCAGCCTGGCCAACATGGTGAAACCTCATCTCTTAAAAAAAAAAAGAAAAAAAAACTTCAGTAAGTGGTGTATTTACAGTTCAGATCCATACTTTCTAATTCAGAACTCCTATTCTCTGAGCAGCTCCCACTGAAAACAGTGAAATGTATGAATCAATGCCACAGGCAACAGTAGGTAAGGTGGGTCAGCAGAGCTGATTATCCAGGTGTGTATGTTTAAAATGTCATGCCTGGGCAAGCTGGCTCACTCCTGTAATCCCAGCACTTGGGGAGGCCTAGGCATATGGATCACTTGAATCCAAGAGTTCAGGACCAGCCTGGGCAACACAGCGAAGCCACGTCTCTACAAAAAATACAAAAATTAGCCGGGTATGGTGGCATGCACCTCCAGTCTTAGCTACTGTGGCACCTGAGGTGGGAGGATCACCTGAGGTCAAGGCTACAGTGAGTGAGCTGTAATCATGCCACTGCAATCCAGCCTGGGTAACAAAATGGAGCTGTGTCTCAAAACAAGTAAATTACAAATAATGAAAGTGGGGCCGGGCACGGTGGCTCACGCCTGTAATCCCAGCACTTTGGGAGGCCGAGGCGGGTGGATCACGAGGTCAAGAGATCAAGACCATCCTGGTCAACAAGGCGAAACCCCGTCTCTATTAAAACTACAAAAAATTAGCTGGGCATGGTGGTGCGTGCCTGTAATCCCAGCTACTCAGGAGGCTGAGGCAGGAGAATTGCCCGAACCCAGGAGGCGGAGGTTGCAGTGAGCCGAGATCGCGCCATTGCACTCCAGCCTGGGTAACAAGAGCAAAACTCCGTCTCAAAAAAAAAAAAAAAAAAAAAAAAAGTGTCATAGCACCATCTAGTGGAATGCTTTCTGTCCGTGTGCAGTGGGCCAAGCATAGAATAGACAGAAAATAGATTGTAGAGTAGGGGTAACTGGCCTGAGTACCATTTTTCCCAAAGGAAAAGAAAATATATTTAACTTTCTTTTTAATGTACATGATTTAATCTGTGAAGCTATTGATAATAGCATTTTGTTTTTTGAGGTAGAGTTTTGCTGTGTTGCCCAGGCTGGAATGCAGTGACATGATCATAGCTACAGCTTCGACCTCCAGGTTCAAGTAGTCCTCCCTCAGCTTCTCGAGTAGCTGGGACTAATAGGCACATGCCACCACACTCGGCTAATTATTTTTATTTATTATTTATTTATTTATTTATTTGAGACAGAATCGCATTCTGTCACCCAGAATGGAGTGCAGTGGCAGTCTTGGCAATCACTGCAACCTCCACCTCCCAGGTTCAAGGGATTCTCATGCCTCATCCTCTGGAGTAGCTGGGATTGCAGGCGTGTACTACCATGCCTGGCTAATTTTTTATATTTTAAGTAGAGGTGGGGTTTTGTTGTGTTGGCCAGGGTGGTCTTGAACTCCTGGCCTCAAGTGATCCCACTGCCTTGGCCTCCCAAAGTGCTGGCATTAAATGCGTGAGCCACCATGCCCTACATTATTAAGAATATTTTTAACATTCTTTTATTTGACATTATTTGAAAAATTTTTAAGTTCAAAATTTTGTAATTTTTTTTCAAACTCTTTGTCAAAGGATTCCCCATTACTGTTGGTGATAGAGATGTATGAACTGTGTATGTTCTTCAAGAATTATAAAGAAGCCGAAGCTAAACTTCTGGAGTTTCAAAAGAGCCTTGAAATGGTAAGTTGCAGTTATGGTGTTCTTTCTCACTGATCTGAACTTGGCTGGCATGGACAGCCTGTTGGCTGCTAGTAGTTAGGATAGGGTAGCAGGAGAATAGTGGTTCTATGGTATATAATTCAAACGATATCATTTATACCATTCCAGAGATGGAAAAACTGGGGTAGGAGTGGCAGTGACCTCACAGCAGCTTACCAGTTTCAGAACATGAACTGAGAAGTTTCATGTAATGTGATAACTGTGATCAGTATCCTGGTAAGCGTCAGTGAGCTTCAGCCAGGCTGACTGAAAAAGAAATTAATAGTATCTGCTGTAGGCACTAGAGAGGAGAATGGTGATACATGGGCCAGATTTTGCCAATCCAGGATAACTGCAGCAGTGCTGAGAGTGAAGGATGTTTAATTCTGTTTTATTCACTGTGACAGAAAATAATGGACTGGGTATGGTGGCTCACACCTGTATTCTCAGCACTTTGAGCGGCCAAGGCAAATGGATCACTTGAGTCTAGGAGTTCAGGATCAGCCTGGGTGACATGGCAAAACCCCGTTTCCACAGAAAACACAAATTTATCTCCTTGAAGTCTGGGTATTTGGTAAAAAAAAAAAACTTTAAAAAAATACAAAAATTGGGAGGCCAAGGTAGGTGGATCACGAAGTCAGGAGTTCAAAACCAGCCTGGCCAACATGGTGAAACCCTGTCTCTACTAAAAATATAAAAATTAGCCAGGCGTGGTGGTATACACATCTAATCCCAGCAACTGGGGAGGCTGAGGCAGGAGAACAGCTTGAACTCGGGAGGCAAAGATTGTAGTGAACTAAGTTCATGCCATTGCACTCCAGTCTGGGCAATAAAGTGAGACTCTGTCTAAAAAAAAAAAAAAAATTAGCCAGGCATGGTGGCATATGCTTGTAGTCGCAGCTACTCTGAGGGACTGAGGCAGGATGATCAACTTAGGAGATCAAGGTTGTGGTGAGCCAAAATCATGCTACTGCATTCCAGCCTGGGTGACAGAGCAAGACCCTGTCTCAAAAAAGAAAAGAATAGAATGGGCCGGGCGCGGTGGCTCACGCCTGTAATCCCAACGCTTTGGGAAGCTGAGGCGGCCGGATCACGAGGTCAAGAGATCGAAACCATCCTGGCCAACAGGGTGAAACTCCATCTCTACTAAAAAATACAAAAATTAGCTGGGCGCGGTGGCATGCAACTGTAGTCCCAGCTACTCGAGAGGCTGAGGCAGGAGAATTGCTTGAACCCAGGAGGTGGAGGTTGCAGTGAGCCAAGATCATGGCACTGCACTCCAGCCTGGTACCTGTCAACAGAGTGAGACTCTTTCTCAAAACAAAAAAAAAAATAGAATGGTTTTTTCCATCAACAATCCTAGTTGTCCCTGTCCAAATGATGTTGACCTATGTGGTCAGTTTCAGGCTTTACCTATTCAGATGCCTGTTTAAGTCTTGTTTATCATGTTGAGCTTCATAAGAGTTATTACCCCATGAAAAGACAGACTAAGTTATAAAAAAAAAAAAGTGGAAGTATGTGTTAGTCTTGTTTGGGATTTTTAGCCCTTTTGCCTTTTCTATCCCAAAAGGCTTTATGATAAATGAGATAAAAGTATGTACCAGTAGAATTTCAGTAGAGGTTTTTGCTCTCTCGATCTGTTGCCCAGACTGGAGTGCAGTGGACAGTCTCGGCTCACTGCAGCCTCTGCCTCCTGGGTTCGAGCGATTCTTCTGCCTAAGCCTCCCAAGTAGCTGGGACTACAGGCACTTGCCAACCACACCTGGCTAATTTGGGGGGACTTACAGGCACATGCCACCACACCTGGCTAATTTTTGCATTTTTAGTGGACATGGGGGTTTCAACATGTTGGCCAGGTTAGTCTTGAACTCCTTACCTCATGATCCACCCACCTTGGCCTCCCAAAGTGCTGGGATTACAGGTATGAGCCAACATGCCCAGCACCACCACCCCATTTTTTTTTTTTTTTTTTTTTTTTTTTTTTTTTTTTTTAAAGACTTGGTGTCTCACTCAGTTACCCAGGCACAGTGGTATGATCATAGCTTATTGCAGCCTTGAACTCCTGGACTCATGAGATCCTCCTGCCTCAGCCTCCCAAGTAGCTGGGATGACAGGCACATGCCACAGGTATATGCCACCATGCTGGATGATTTTTAATTGTTGTCTTTTTTTTTTCCCTTTGAGACAGTCTGGCCCTGTCGCCCAGGCTGGAATACAGTGGCGTGATCTTGGCTCACTGTTGCCTCCGCCTCCCAGATTCAAGTGGTTGTCCTGCCTCGGCCTCCCAAGTAGCTGGAATTACAGGCACCCACCACCACGCCCAGCTAATTTTTTTTATTTTTAGTAGAGATGGGGTTTCACCGTGTCGGTCAGGCTGGTCTCAAACTCCTGACCTCAAGTGATCCACCCACCTCAGCCTCCCAAAGTGCTGAGATTACAGGCATGAGCCACTGCACCCAGTCATTTTTAACACTTTTTTTTAATAAAGATGAAGTCTTGCTTTGTTGCCCAGGCTGGTTTGGAACTCCTTGCCTCAAGCAATCCTGCCACCTCAGCCTCTCAAAATGCTGGAATTACAGGCATGAGCCACCATGTCTGGCCACATTGGCCTTAACCGTAATGAAGCTTTGAAACTTACATATTGGAAACCACCAAATCAGTTATTTGAATATGCCTAGGATTCTGAAACCACAGAAAAGAGACACATTAATTTCCTTAGCCTATTACTCCTTATGGCTGGATGGATACCTCCCAGGTATCTTCTTATTCTTGCCTGACTAGCCCTGCTCCAGCCTCTGCAAAAGAGCAGTACATTTGCTCCCATCCTTGCCTCAGTCCTTCACTTCAATGTATTTTTTTCCTTTAACCAGTTCCATCATCTGCTCACATTAGTTCATCTTCTTAGAGCAATAGAGTTAGATATATAAGTAATTAAGGACTAAGGACTAGTGCCCTAATCCCAGCTAATTTTAACAAGGAGACACTCAGGAGGATAAAGAATCGAGAAACTTTTAAAAAAAAAAAAATATGTAGAAGTACTTTTGCTCTTCTAAACATCAAAATCCATTCACCGTGTTTACAGGAAGCATTCAGGAACAATGTCTAAGCAGGAATAGTAGCTAATTTAATGAGCTGACTACCGATGCAATTCCTGTAAATACTTTGCATTAAGGGAGAGGCTGCAAAAGCAAATTATCTTCTTTTTACTTACGAGTAGGTAAGTCCTGTTGGAATTTGAGAGGAGGATTAGAAATCTACAGGGAGGACCACATAGGGTGTGCTAAGGTAGCTGAAATACAGGCACGCGCCACCACACCCGGCTAATTTTTGCATTTTTAGTGGAGACAGGGTTTCGCCACGTTGGCCAGGTTAGTCTTGAATTCCTGACCTCGGAATCCGAAAGAGGATAGAGAAGGAAATTCGTTCCAAGTAGGGATAAGAAGATAACAGTAATGTGACATAGATTTTATAATCTATTCCTTTAAGATCTTGGCAGTCTTGAGAATTCCACTGAAGGGAATATTGTCTTCTAAAACCTACACCACAGCCACAAAGCCTGTGCATATTAAACTTACCTTCAGAGTGATGTTTATAGTGCGTTCAGAAGTATACAGGAAGTATCCAGCCAAGACTAGGGCCTAACACAGTACTAGGCACAGAGGTACTGAATTTGGTGCCTATTAACATATACATTTTTTGAAACCAGACAGTTAAATTTCTGTTTCACCAAAAGACCCAGTAATTTTTGTGATTATGTTGCATGAAGTCTAGAGTGAACAACGAGACTATAGTGACTGAGAACCAAATGTTAGTCTTCCGAAAATGATATGAATTGAAGCAGGAGCCAAAGAAAAGTCAAGAATGAAGTCACAAAAGAAGCATCTGTGGGGTGCAGTTGTCATACCTGTAATCCCAGCACTTAGGGAGGCAGAGGCGGGAGGATGGCATAAGGCCAGGAATTTGACCAGCCTGGGCAACAGAACATAGTGAGACCCTGTTCTCCACCAACACAAAGGAAAGAAAAAAAAAAAAAAAAAAAAGCAGCAGCAGGTAAGAAAGCACCATTCCTCTGAAATCTGCCTTTTCCTGCAGCATCCTAGAAGATATTTTTGCCATACCTACTTGTAGAAATGCAACCTGCCACTTGAATTCATCTTCCTATTAATATTTTTAGAATTCAGTTGAAATAATATAAATCCAGGCTTCTTAAGTGAGACCCTTCTCTAACAAGAATAAACTAAAAGCAAAGTGGTAGAATTAGCTAAGTAATGTTAGGCAAGTCTTTTTTTTTTTTTTTTTTTTAAATCATACTTTCAGTTCTGGGGTACATGTGCAGAACATGCAGGTTTGTTACAAAAGTATGCACGTGATGTTAGGCAAGTCTTTCTAAGCAGTTTTTATAATGTGAATTTAAAATCTTCTGGATTCAGGGGCAGGCCTACATCCCCCCCCTTAAGAAGCTGCTGGCCAGGCATGGTGGCTCACGCCTGTAATCCCAGCACTTTGGGAGGTTGAGGCAGGCAGATCACGAGGTCAGGAGTTCAAGACCAGCCTGGCCAACATGGTGAAACCCCATCTCTACTAAAAATAGAAAAATTAGCTGGGCGTGCTGGTGGGTGCCTATAATCCCAGCTACTCAGGAGACTAACGCAGGAGAATCTCTTGAACCTGGGAGGCGGAGGTTGCAGAGACCATACCGCTGCACTCCAGCCTGGGTGACAGAGTAAGACTCTGTGTCCTGCCCCCCCCCCGCCAAAAAAAAAAGCTGCTAAGTGAAACATCTGGTTAATTTCACAGCAACTCAAAGCAGCATTAATTTGACAGTCACTAAGTGGGATTATTTTACATTAATTAATTCGATAGTTAATATTCAGTCTTGAAGACTCTTGCCCATCTTTTTCACACATGCAGCTCTATACCAGAACTTCCCACAAAGAGACAATCTGCAGAGCTGCTGAGAAGGGCTTGTTTTTGCCAGCCCTCTGAGCCCCATTACCAGTTCCTGCCGTTGGAAAGGACCTGAGTAAGCGCCTCCCTTTGTGACAGGAGATAGCTTTTGAGGGAATTTTAGGTTTCTTAGAGGTTCCCAGATTTGGAGGTTTTGATTTGCTATTCTCATGAAACTGCTTTCCCTAAGCCTCTCTTTTCCTTTCATAGCTTAACACAGCAGCCACAAAGGTCCACCCTGTCATCCCTGCCATGTGGCTGGAGGATCAGGTGTGTTTCCTTTTGAAGCTTATGCTACAGCAGTGTAAGACCCAGTATGAGCTGAGGAAGCTTCTACAGCTATTTGTTGAAAGAGAGCATCTCTTCTCTGATGGTAAGACAATACTTACAATTAAGTTGCTATTAAGAAGTTAGCTTTCTTAATCTTGAAAATACTTTAGGGGTAGTTAAGAAATTAAAATGCATGTAATATTAACTTACAGTCTACAACTGGGTGTGAAGAAGTTACAGAGAACTTAAAATTCTGGTTAAAATATTCAGTAAATAATACAACAGCATAAAATACCAATCATCACATTCTAAGCAGTTATCAAATAGCCACATTTCCTCCTAGTTGGCTTCTACATTAACCTTTCAGTATCTTCTTCTCTCTGGCAAATAATCTTAGCATTGCCCAGGATCACAAACCCTGTTTCAGAAATCTACAATTCATTTTTTAAATTTCAGAGACAAATGTTTTGTTTTGTTTTGTTTTGGTTTGGTTTTTGGCAGATTCCTTAAGACATTGGCAGTCTCTAAACTTGTTGCTGATTGAATCAAACCAATATTGCCTTATTATCTTTTCTACTTGTTTGATAATTTCAAGTTTTTGTTGAATGATAATGTTGTTCTTTTATATTATATTCTGACACTTTGACTACTAGAGTTATTTTCTCACGTTTACACTCACAGATTTTTTAACTAGAGAGCTCAGATTTGCACAGAACACTGACAGAATCCTGAACCCAGAGCCAGTTGTTGCAGGCTGTGGGTCCGATAGCTAAAAAGAAAAAGGGGTGTTTCCAAACTGTAGTGGATATAAGATGGTACTTATCAGTTACTGTGCAGACCAGGTATACATCCTTTTAACATATCGGTGTTTTCATTGATCTGTAGTAATTATAATTTTTTTCAAAAATGAATTTCCTATTGTTTGCCATAATCTATCTTTGACTTAGGAGGACTGACTACATTGTTAAACTCAACTATAATACTTTTATTCTATAATTATTTCTGTTTTTAGAAATTGTGTTACTATATGTGCATATTTAACATTTATGTGCTTTAAGAACAGGATTTTTTTTTTTTTTTTTTTTTTGAGACAGAGTCTGGCTCTATTGCCCAAGCTGGAGTGTAGTAGCACATTCTCAGCTCACTGAAACCTCTTGCCGCCTAGGCTCAAGCAATCGTCCCACCTTAGCCTCCTGAGTAGCTGGGATTACAGGCACATACCGCCACACCTGGCTAATTTTTGTATTTCTTTGTTAGTGATGGGGTTTTGCCATGTTGCCCAGGCTGGTCTGAAGCTCAATCAGTCCTCCTGCCTTGGCCTCTCAAAGTGCTGGGATTACAGGCGTGAACCACTGTGCCCAGCCAGGAATATGTTCTTTAAAAACCTATGTTTTATATGATGCCAGCAAAACCCAGCATGTCCATGTTGGTGGTTATTGTGCAGGGTGTCTCACTGTCCCCAGAACTACCTAAATCAGACTGCTGCCCAGCAAGTGGCATTGGAAATAGCTGCCTATGGAATGTTTCTCATGCACCTCTCTTATGGTAGGACATACATAGACTCTACTTAGATTGTTTGGGAAAGGGAGCAAACCCAGCCACGTAAGTTGTTGGCAGAGAATTCTTTGGTTTTTTTTTTGTTTTTTTTTTTTTGATAGAGACAAAGGTCTTACCATGTTGCACATGCTGGTCTTGAACTCCTGGCCTCAAGTGATCCCTCCTGCCTTGGCCTCCCAAAGTGCTGGGGTTATAGGCATGACCCACTGCACCTGGCCAAGAATTCTTAGCATTAACTAATAATTTCCCAGAGACATCAGGAAGAGCTCCGTTGGGTCTCCCTGGGTTAAGTAGATAAAAATTTCGGAGGTGCAACTGATGCTTCGTTCTGATACAGTGTGCCACATTAGAGCCTAGGCTGTTGACCAGCTGGAGATTTAACCTATAAGTGCTCTGTCTTGATCCACATGATGCCTCCATTGAATGAACAAATGACCACTAAATCAAATAAATTTGATCAAGGTAGGAGATAAATCTGGAGAGAGACAGACTAACCTGAATGACTAAAATCTTCCCAAGGTTACTGTGTTTCTACTACGTTGAACACCACCAACCTCTGCCCTGTATTTAAAGCCAGATGTGTAGATTGAGTTCATGTGCTAATCTCTACCAGGTTTTTTTTGTTGTTGTTTTGTTTTTGTTTTTTTGTTTTTAAGTCAGAGTCTTACTCTATTGCCCAGGCTGGAGTACAATGGCACCATCTTAGTTCACTGATTCTCCTGCCTCAGCTCCGTGTAGCTGGGATTACAGGCGTGTGCCACCAGGCCAGGCTAATTTTTGTATTTTTAGTAGAGATGGGGCTTCACCATGTTGGCCAGGCTGGTCTCAAACTCCTGACCTCAAGTGATCCACCCGAGTTGGTCTCTCAAAGTGCTGGGATTGCAAGCGTGAGCCACCACGCCCAGCCATTAATCTCTAACCGTTCTTACTATATGACAAGCAAATTCAGCCAGAGTTTACCACTAACAATTTTGCTGGGCCATTTTTTTGGTGTCTTTGGTATGGTGGAGCTACCTTATGATTTCCTCTGCTAGTCAACCAGAGTAGAAAAATAGCTTTTTTTTGGTCGGGCATGGTGGCTCACGCCTGTAATCCCAGTACTTTGGGAGGCTGAGGCAGGTGGATCAGCTGAGGTCAAGAGTTTGAGACCAGCGTGGACAACATGGTGAAACCCCATCTATACTAAAAGTACAAAAATTAGCCAGGTGTGGTGGTAGAAGCCTCCTAGTTATTTGGGAGGCTGAGGCAGGAGGATCCCTTGAACCCAAGAGATGGAGGTTGCAGTGAGCCCCGATCATGCCACTGCATTCCAGCCTGGGTGACAGAGTGATACTTCACCTCAAAAAAAAAAAAAAAAAAAAAAAGATAAGAAAAGTAGCTTTTTGGTTTTCCTTTGACTACATTAAACATGTATATTTTCCCCCTGATACATATTACTCTTGAAATGCTGTAGTGGCATTTATTAACTAAATGTTTATATTCTCTCCTCTTTGGCACAGGTCCAGATGTGAAGAAACTGTGTGTCCTTTGCCAAATTTTGAAGGATACATCCATAGCCATTAATCTTATCATTATTACCAGCTATAGCATTGAGAATTTTCAGCGTGAATGTAGATCTATTTTGGAAAGACTGCAGACAGATGGACAGTTTGCTTTGGCCAGAAGGGTAGCAGAATTAGCTGAGTTGCCTGTGGACAACTTGGTTATTGAAGAGGTATCATTGGTCTTTTAAGTTATTTAAAATCTTAGCTCGTAAAATCAGCATTAAACAGTAAATCAGATGAGATATATAATTTATAGGAGATGAGGCCTTTTTTACTTTGGACACACACATTACTTTCAGAAATGGATGAGCCTGCAATTCCCATTGAGAAATGTGTGCTGCAAATGTAATGTTAGTTTGCAAGATATGCTCCAACTATTTTCCTTTGAATAGACTTAAATATAAGGGGGGCTTCCACTTAAACCCCATTCAGTGGGATGAATCAAGAATTGTTTTTCATACCATAACTTTCCAGATAAAATATCCAGGATCATCAGTAGCCAAATCTCTATTCTCTGATTTGATTTGGTTTTAACAAGTATGATAAAGCCAGGTGCAGTGGCTCATGCCTGTGATTCCAGCACTTTGGGAGGTGGAGGCAGGAGGATTGCTTGAGCCCAGGAGTTCAAGACCAGCCTGGGCAACATAGGGAGACCCTGTCTCTACAAAAAAATTAAAAATTAGCCAGGTGTGATGACACACACCTGTGGTCCCAGCTCCCTGGGAGGCTGAGGTGGGAGGTTCTCTTGGGTCCAGGAGGTTGAGGCTGCAGTGTGCTATGATTGTCCCACTGCTGTCCAGCCTGGGTGACAGACTGAGACCCTATCTCAAAAAAAAAAAAAAAAAAAGACAAATATGATATAGTTAGGGAACATTAGCATTAAGGCTAAAATCTGCTTTGTTAAATTTCACAGATAACACGGGAAATGCAAACCCTAAAACACATTGAACAGTGGTCACTAAAACAAGCAAGAATTGACTTCTGGAAAAAATGCCATGAGAATTTTCAGAAAAATTCAATTTCAAGCAAAGCAGCTTCTTCCTTTTTCTCAGCTCAGGCCCATGTGGCATGTGAGCACCCAACTGGACAGAGCAGCATTGAGGAGCGCCATCTGCTGCTCACCCTGGCAGGGTACTGGCTTGCCCAGGAGGACCCGGTGCCTCTGGACAAGCTGGAGGAGCTGGAGAAGGAGATCTGGCTCTGCCGCATCACCCAGCACACACTTGGAAGAAATCAGGAAGAAACAGAGCCCAGATTTTCTCGACAGATCTCAACTAGTGGTGAACTTTCCTTTGATAGTTTAGCCAATGAGTTTTCCTTCTCCAAGTTGGCTGCTCTGAACACATCAAAATACTTAGACCTTAACAGCATTCCATCCAAAGAGACATGCGAGAGTAGACTGGATTGGAAAGAGCAGGAGTCACTAAACTTTTTGATTGGGCGCCTACTGGATGATGGCTGTGTGCATGAAGCAAGTAGGGTATGCCAGTATTTTCATTTTTATAATCAAGATGTCACTTTGGTGTTGCACTGCAGAGCACTGGCCTCAGGAGAAGCTAGTGTGGAGGATGTGCACCCGGAGATCCATGCTCTCCTACGAAGTGCTGAGCTGCTTGAGGAAGAAGAGCCTGATGTTCTCCTAAGGAGAGTCCACAGCAGTAAGTGAAAGAGAGCAGACGGCCCAGATCTTAAATGGCACTGTTGGCACTGTCTCTAAGAAGGAAGGGTCCCTCGTGGCAGAATAGTTATACAAAGTTAAGGGGACAACAACTTTTTTCCAGGTAATCTGTAAACTAGATAGATAATAACTAGTCAATGAAGTAGAAAGACGTTATGTCTTTTAAACTAGCTATGTTTCAAAGTTAGAGGGAATCTATCTGATTTGTAGCTAGTTCACTGAAATGTATTCAATACATCTGTAAATTTAATCATTTCCAGTCTTACATTAATAGTATATAGAAATATTTTTTTTTTTTTTTTTTGAGATGGAGTTTTCGCTCTTATCGCCCAGGCTGAAGTGCAGTCGTGTGGTCTCAGCTCACTGCAACTTCCATCTCCCAGGTTCTCATACCTCAGCCTCCCAAGTAGCTAAGATTACAGGTGCCGCCACCACACCCAGCTAATTTTTGTATTTTTAGTAGAGACAGGGTTTCATCATCTTAGCCAGGCTGGTCTCGAACTTCTGAGCTCAGGTGATTTGCCCTCCTTGGCCTCCCAAAGTGCTAAATTTTTTTTTTTTTTTTTGTATTTTAGTAGAAACAGGGTTTCAACATGTTGGCCAGGGTGGTCCCAATCTCTTGACCCCGTGATACCCCTGCCTTGGCCTCCCAAAGTGCTGGGATTATAGGCGTGAGCCACTGCGCCAGCCCCAGAAATATGTTTTTTTATGTTAACTTTATATTCTGTGACTTTGTTAAACTTGCTTATTCTAGATTTCTTGTAGATTCCCCGAGATATTCTACATGGACAGTGATGTCATCAGCAAATAGAGACAGTTGTATTTCTTCCTTTCCAATCTGTATGCCTTTTATTTCTTGTTCTTGCTTTATTGCACTGATTAGGCCTTTCAGTACTGTGTTGGATAGGAGTGGTGAGAGTGGACATCCGTACCTTTTTACTGACCTTAAAGGGAAAACATTTGGTCTTTCATCATTAAGTATGGTATTAGCTGTAGGTTGTTTTTTTTTTTTTTGAGACGGAGTTTCGCTCTTGATACCCAGGCTGGAGTGCAATGGCGCGATCTCGGCTCACCGCAACCTCCGCCTCCTGGGTTCAGGCAATTCTCCTGCCTCAGCCTCCTGAGTAGCTGGGATTACAGGCATGCGCCACCATGCCCATCTAATTTTTTGTAGTTTTTAGTAGAGACGGGGTTTCACCGTGTTGACCAGGATGGTCTCGATCTCTTGACCTCGTGATCCACCCGCCTCGGCCTCCCAAAGAGCTGGGATCACAGGCGTGAGCCACCGCGCCCGGCCTAGCTGTAGGTTTTTTAAGATATTTTATCATGTTGAGGAAGTTCCCTTCTATTTCTGGTTTGCTGAGAATTTTTACCATGAATGTTTGAATTGAGTCATGTTATTTCTACATATGTTGCTTGGATCATGTGGGTTATTTTCTTTAGACTATTAATATGGTAGATTACATTAATTAATTTTTTAAAATATTGAGCCAATCTTGAATTCCCCATTTAAATAATCCAATTTGGTCCTGGTGCATTATTCTTTTGATTTTTTTGCTGGAATCAGTTTGCTGTTTTGTTAAAGATTTTTACATTTATGTTCATGAGGAATGTTGATCTGTCATTTTCTTTTTTGTACCATTTGGTTTTTTGGGGTGGTTTTTATTTGTTTTTGTTTTTGTTTTTTGTTTTTTTTTGAGAAAAAATCTTGCTCTGTCGCCCAGGCCAGAGTGTAGTGGCGCAGTCTCAACTCACTACAACCTCCACCTTCAGGGTTAAAGTGATTCACCTCCCTCAGCCTCCCAAGCAGCTGGGATTACAGGTGTATACCACCACACCTGGCTAATTTTTGTATTTTTAGTAGAGATGGGGTTTCACCATATTGGCCAGCCTGGTCTTGAACTCCTGACCGCAAGTGATCTACCCACCTCGGCCTCCCAAAGTGCTGGGATTAAAGGCCTGAGCCGCCAAACTAGGCCTTTTTTTGTACTGTTCTTTTCTGGTTTTTGTATCAAGGTAATGCTGGTTTCATGAGAAGGAAAGTATTCCCTGCTCTTTTATTTTCTGGAAAACATTGTGTAGAACTGGTGTTATTCTTCTTTAAATGCTTAGTAGAATTTTGCAGTAAAACTACCTGAGACTAGAGATTTCCATTTTGGAAGATTTTAAACCACAAATTCAATTTCCTAAATAATTATGGGACTATTCATGTTATCTTTCTCATCTTGGGTCAGTTTTTGCATTTTGTGATTTTCTTTTTACTTTTTTTGTTTTGTTTTTGTTTTTGAGATGGAGTTTTGCTTTTGTTGCCCAGGCTGGAGTGCAACGGCGCAATCTCAGCTCACTGCAACCTCCACCTCCCAGGTTCCAGCTATTCTGCTGCCTCAGCCTCCCAAGTAGCTGGGATTACAGGCATGCCCCACCAGGCCCAGCTAATTTTGTATTTTTTGTAGAGATGGGGTTTCTTCATGTTGGTCAGGCTGGTCTCAAACAACAGACCTCAGGTGATCTGCCTGCCTCGGCCTCTCAAATTGCTGGGATTATAGGTGTGAGCCACTGCACCCGGCCTGCATTTTGTGATTTTCAAGGAAAACTTTTTCTTCCTGCTTTTTGGGTTATTTGAACATTTTTTAGTCTTCCATTTTATTGTGATTTTGGCTGTGCATCTTTGTATAGTTTTTTTTTTTTTTTTTTTTTTTTGAGATGGAGTCTCGCTGTGTAGCCGAGGCTGGAGTGCAGTGGCGCCATCTCAACTCAGTGCAACCTGCGCCTCCTGGGTTCTGGTTTGAGAGATTCTCCTACCTCAGTCTCCCAAGCAGCTGGGATTACAGGCACGAGCCACCATGCCCAGCTAATTTTTGTACTTTTTAGTAGAGAGGGGTTTTACTATGTTGGCTAGTCTGGTCTTGAACTCCTGACCTCGTGATCCACCCACCTCGCCTCGGCCTCCCAAAATGCTAAGATTACAGGTGTGAGCCACCGCGCCCAGCCAGTTTGTTTTTTTAGAGACAACAATGTACTTTCTTAACTTTTCACAGTCTACTTAGAATCAATATTTTACCACCTCAGCTAGAATGCAGGAGAAATCTTAGCACCATTTAGTTCATTTTACTCTTCTCCCTTCACATCCTCCTTGTTTTTTACTATTTCTGCATACACTGAAAACCTCATTAAACAATTAGGTTTTTGTTCTTAACCAAAAAATATATATTAATAAACCCCAAAGAATAGTCTATCATATTTACAACTTTTATTGTTCTTCTATCATTCCTTATGTCCCAGGTTTCCTTCTGGTTTCTTTTGCCTTGTGGCTGAAGGACTTCTTTTAGGGCTGTCTGCTGGCAACAGATTCTCTTAGGGTTTTGTTTTTGTTTTTTAATAAATACTCAGTTTTTCATCATCTGAGAATGTCTCTATTTTACCTTCAGTGAGCAGTGTTCATGCCACTGCACTCCAGCCTAGGCAACAAAGCGAGAACCTATCTCAATAAATAAATAAGAAAATTAGTTCTTTTCTTTCAGCACCTGAAAATGTTGTTCCACTTGCTTTTGGCCTCCCAGGGTGTCTGATGAAAAATCTGCAGTTAATTGAATCATTGTTCATCTGTATAAATAGAGCATATTTCTCTGGTTGCTGTGAATATGTTTTTCTGTCTTTGGTCTTCAGCAGTTTGATTGTAATGTAACTGGATATGTATTTCTTTGGCTTTATTCTCTTTGGGGATCACTGAGTTTCTTGAATATGTAGGTTTATGTATTTTACCAAACTTGGGTAGTGTTCAGCCATAATTTTTTCAAATATTTTCTCAGCACCACACCTGTTCTCCTCTCCTTCTGGAACTTCAAGGACATGAATTTATAATTTTTGTTATTATCTCATGAGTCCTTGAAGTTTTGTTGTTTTGTTTTTGTTTTTGAGACAGTCTCACTCTGTTACCAGGCTGGAGTGTAGTGGTGCAATCTCGGCTCACTGCAACCTCCACCTTGCAGGTTCAAGCGATTCTCCTGCCTCAGCCTCCTGAGTAGCTGGGATTACAGGCACACGCCACCACACCCCGCTAATTTTTGTATTTTTAGTAGAGGTGGGGTTTCACCATATTGGCCAGGATGGTCTCGATCTCTTGACTTTGTGATCGGCCTACCTTGGCCTCCCAAAGTGCTGGGATTACAGGTGTGAGCCACCCCACCCGGCTAATTTTTTTTTTTTTTTTTTTTTAAACTTTTTTTCTCTCTGTTGTTCAGATTGGATAACTTCTGTTAGTCTCTCTTCAATTTCACTGACTTTTTCCTCTGTCATGTCCATTCTGCTATTGAATTTTCTATGATTTTAAAATTTCAGTTACAGTCATGCGTTTTTAACAATCAGGATACCTTCTGAGAAATGCATTGTCGGGTGATTTCGTCACTGTGCAAACACCATAGAGTGTACTTATACAAACTTAGGTGGTATAGGAACCTAGGTGGTATACTACCTATGCTACATGGTATATAGCCTGTCATTCCTGGGCTACAAGCCAGTACTGCATGCTTCTGTACTGTAGGTGACTGTAACGCAATGGTACATATTTGTGTATCTAGACATGTCTGAACATAGAAAAGGTGCAGTAAAAATATGGTATAAAGATTTTTTAGCTTCAGGAAATAAACAATTGGAGATTTTCACTTAAAAATAAGATTTTTTAAAATGGTACAATTTGTAAAGGACACTTAACGTTAATGGAGCTTGCAGGACTAAAAGTTGCTCTGGGTGTCACTAAGTGGTAAGGCAATGTGAAAGCCTAGGATGTTACCATACATTACTGTACACTTTATAAATGGTGTACATTTAGGCTACACTAAATTTATCTAAAAATGAAGTAATTGTACTATGTCACAATGACTTTGACGTCACTAGGTATAGGAATTTTTCAGTTCCATTATAATCTTACAGGATCAGCACTGTATTTGCAGTCTGTTATTGACGGAAACATTGTTAGCCAGCACGTAACTGTATTTCTGAGTTCTAAAATTTTCATTTTGTTCTTCATACCTTCTATTTATTTGCTGAGACTTTCCATTTTTCTGTTTGTCTCAAGAGCATTCAGAATTGCTTACTGGAACATTTGTATTATAGCTGCTTTAGTCTTTGTCAGATAATTTTAACATTTGCATCATTTTAATGTCTTTTCTTACGTGAGTTGAAGTCTTCCTGCTTTTGTTTTATGCTGAGTAATTTGGGGTTGCATCTGGACATTTTGGGTTTTTTTGTTTGTTTTCTTGTTTTTGTTTTTTGAGATGGAGTCTCACTGTCATCCAGGCTGGAGTGCAGTGGCACAGTCTCACTCACTGCAACTTCTGCCTCCCAGCTTCAAGCAATTCTTGTGTCTCAGACCCCCGAGTAGCTGAGATTACAGGTGTGCACCACCATACCTGGCTGATTTTTTTTTTATTTTTAGTAGAGATGGGGTTTTGCCATGTTGGCCAGGCCTCAGGTGATCCACATGAGCCACCACAACTAGCTGCATCTGGACATTGTGAATAGTGTATTATTCAAATATACTATTTGAGACTGTGGATCTCACTTAAATCCTATGAAGGATGTTGATATTTTTTAGCAGACAGTTGACCTGGGTAGGTTCAGGCTGAAGTTCTAAACCACTGCCTGTGTGCTGTGATTTCAACATCAGTTCCGTTTCCTTTGCTGTACTATTCAGAGCTGTCCTGTGTGAGCATACCATCCACTGGTCAATCTGTGACCTTGGTAGTGATCTGTCCATTAATTCCATTCTCAGAGGCTTTGACATGCTAGTTAGGATCAAAGCCATACACGTGTAGTCCAGGAGTGAGCCCTGTAGTTCATAAAAATTTATTGGGTTGCTTTCCCGGGGCTCTGCCAGGTAATTTCTGGTTCCCTGAGGCTTCTCTTTTCAGTTCTTTGGCCAAAAGCTAAAAGTTTAGTTACCCCCACTCTGTCTTGCATTTCCCTGACTATTCCTGCATCCAGGGCCAAGCAACAGGAGGTTAATGCAAAAGCAACAGGGGTCTACTCCGCCCTCCTGAGACCAGAGTGCCTCTGCTCAGAAAAGAAGGCTCCCCAGAGAGCTTTAGCTCTTGCCACTTGGCATTGCAGCCTCTGCCACCACTGGCAGTGGCTTGCTTGGGAGCCAGGACAAGGAAGAACTGGAATTAGGAGTTCCCCTTTCCACTCTTCAAACTGGTACTGGAGAGCTGCTAGAATTCGCTTTGTCTTGCACTCACACTTCGTCTCAGCCCTTAGTTCTTAGGTTTTAGGCAGCACTGCATTCAGGCTAGAGCTTGCTAGAATGGCGGAAATGATAATTCTGGTCATCTTCAATTTACCTGCTACTTTTTACTTTTCAGAGCCCTTATATAGCTGCAACTTGTATTGTGTCCAGGTTTTGTATTGAATTCAGTGGGAGAGACTCAATCAATAAGTAGATTGAGCTTATTCCAACTTACCTAGAACTGAAACTCCCAGTGAAAAATTTAACCAGGGGAATAACATGGTTTGAACTGCATTTTATTTATTTCCTCTTTAAGGGTTTTTTTGTTGTTGTTGTCGTTGTTGTTTTTGAAACAGGGCCTCACTCTGTTGCCCAGGCTGGAGTGTGGTAGTGCAAACATGGCTCACTGCAGACTCAACCTCCAGGGCTCAAGCAATCCTTCTGCCTCAGCCTGCCGAGTAGCTGGAACCACAGGTGCACACCACCATGCCCAGCTAATTTTTAAATTTTTTGTAGAGGTGGGGTCTCACTGTGTTACGCAGGCTGGCCTCAAACTTTTGAGCTCCAGGGTTCCTCCCACCTCAGCCTCCCAAAATGATGGGATTTCAGGCATGAGCCACTACCTCTGGCCTACAGCACTTTTTAATAGTATTTTAAAATAAAAATTAGTAAGTGTGTAGTATAGCAAATCACATAACGCAGAAATGCATAAAGTAAAAAGTCAGTTCAGGCTGGGTACAGTAATCCCAGCACTTTAGAAAACTGAGGTGGGCGGATCACCTGAGGTCAGGAGTTCAAGACCAGCCTGGCCAACATGGTGAAACCTCATCTCTACTAAAAATACAAAAAATTAGCCAGGCATGGTGGCGCACACCTGTAAACCCAGCTACACAGGAGGCTAAGGCAGGAGAATCACTTGAACTCAGTAGGCAGAGGTTGCAGTGTACCAAGATGGTGCCACTGTACTCCAGCCTGGGCGACAGAGTGAGACTTCATCCAAAAAAAAGCCAATTCAACACTACTCTGACTAAATTTCCCGGAATAACCATGTTTTACTTGCTTGGTATGCATTTTCTACTTGTAGGCACACACATAATGTTTGTTTTTTACAAAAATGAGATTACTTCATATTGACCTTCCTTTTTTCCCGTCAGTACGTATAGATTGACCCCCTTTTTTCTAACGGCTGCAGAGTATTCCACTATACAGATGTACCAAGCTTTGACAATGCTTTATTGATACTTAAATTTTTCTATTTTGTTTTTGTCATTAGAAAGTGTAATATGGATATTACTGTTTTTTCTGATAGAAACTCTTTATCAAATTACTATCTTCTGTTTGAAGCTAAGAGCTTTCTTTTTAAAAAACAAATCAGGAATGGATTTTAATTTTACTCTAAATAAAAGCATATTTGCAGGTGGGTGCGGTGGCCCATGCCTGTATTCCTGGCACTTTGGAAAGCTGAGGCAGATGGATCAGTTTGAGGCCAGGAGTTGGAGACCAGCCTGACCAACATGGCATAACCTCATCTCAACTAACAATGTAAAAATTAGCCGGGTGTGGTGGTACACACCTGTAATCCCAGCTACTCGGGAGGCTGAGGCATGAGAATTTGTTAAGCCCAGGAGGCAGAAGTTGAAGTGAGCTGAGATCATGACACTCTACTCCAGCCTGGCCAACAGAGTGAGACTCTGTCCTTATTTAAAGAAAAAAAAAATTAAAGCATATTTGCATTTTAGAAATATGTCAGAGACTGATTGGGCATGAGGGGCTGACAGCAGGAGACAGATAACAGCTTCTCAGAATACAGAGTGATGAAGGCTGGAACTAAGGCCACAGCTGGAGGGATGTCATGGAGTTAGCTATACTTGATGACTTATTTGATATAGGAGAGAGAACATACAGAGGAGACTGGCAAACATCTTTGGTGCTGATCTCTAGAGCACTCATTAGGTGGCCTTGAGTCTTTATAGCATATGAGGTCTTTGAAGTATCCCAGGCTGGGATTTTCTGGAAGGCCATGAAAGAAGTTGAAGCGGGGCCCTGTTAGCAGTGTCCTATCCCCAATTGGAGTCATGGGAGTGCAGTGCAGGGAGCTTTTAGCAGAGAGGTAGAGCCATAGAGAGCTGGGGAGAGGCCCGAACCTGCCAGCTTAGAGCTCCTCAGACTTATATTTGCTTCCAGCCTCAAGTCTGGATAGTCAAAAGTTTGTGACATTGCCCTCCAATGATGAAGTGGTGACTAACTTGGAAGTGCTGACAAACAAATGCCTCCATGGGAAGAACTACTGTCAACAGGTCCTCTGTCTGTATGATCTTGCCAAGGTATGTGCTAAGGGGTTGGGCTTCTTCTGAGAGGGAGGGAAATGAGAAATTTTAGGTTGATTTTGTACATTGCCAAGTCAGCCTTTTAGATGATAATCATAACCTGGAAGGACAGTTTTGTCAGGATGTTGGCCCCCATAAGTTCATCTTTGGGGAATGGTAGGGAAGACACCAGGCCAGGTGCCAGGGCAATCTGACTCCTGGCTGCAGCTCAGCAAACCAGAAAGCTAGGGCAAGACATTTCACTTCTGTGAGCCTGTTTAATCATCTATAAATGATGATTTGACTATGAAGGGTCTTTTCTAGACTTAATATCTTAGGCTTTGCCTTATGATTGTTTGGAGCATTCCATATGGAATGTGATGACTATAAAGACAAGAGCCAGAGCAACCAGAAATTATCTGTAGCTTTGTGCTGGTTGGGGGAGAAAAACGGTAGACTGGAAGTAGAAGAGCACAGGAGAAATAAAGCCAAACCCTAAAGTCCTTGTCTAGGAGAAGACTCACAGACTTCTTTGGAAATTGAGGGTTTTGCTGCTGCTCTGGGAATAAGGGCTCTTGCATTTGTCAGTGTTCCTACATTCCATAATATTTTAAAAAATCAACCTAGGTGTGGTGGCTCACACCTGTAATCCCAGCACTTTGGGAGGCTGAAGCAGGTAGATCACTTGAGGTCAAGAGTTTGAGACCATCCTGGCCAACATAGTGAAACCCCATCTCTGCTAAAAATACAAGAACTAGCCAAGTGTGGTGGCAGGCACCTGTAATCCCAGCTGAAGCAGAAGAGTTGCTTGAACCTAGGGGGCAGAGGTTACAGTGAGCTGAGATCATGCCACTGTACTCCAGCCTGAGTGACACACACACACACACACACACACACAAAATCAGTTTTCAGAAAGAGAGTCACCTGATGCTTTCTGAAGACAAGCCTTTCTTTTACCTGGATTTGGCTTTGGTGAAATGATGGAAAGGGTTAGAAAACAGTATTTGTTTTTTCTAAGGTTCCTGCTGAGGGTGAGGGGTCTCTGAGCTTGGAAAACAGGAGTCTGGCCACATCAGATTTCAGAAGGGGCCGTCTTTTGCTTTTTCCTGGCTTCTAAAAATGGCTTGTCTTCCTCTTAGGAGTTGGGCTGTTCCTACACAGATGTTGCTTCTCAGGATGGTGAAGTCATGCTCCGGGAAATCTTGGCCTCACAGCAGCCTGACCGATGCAGACGAGCCCAGGCCTTCATCAGCACCCAGGGCCTTAACCTAGATACTGTGGCTGAACTCGTGGCAGAAGAGGTGACACGGGAGCTGCTGACTCCATCACAGGGAACAGGTGCTGTACCCCCTAGGGATCCCCAACCTCTCTGACAGCATTCTCCAGTTCTCAGTGTTAAGGATTTGGATGTGGTGCTTATATTCATCCTGTATGTAGTTCTCTCAGATTTCTGGATTCCAGCGATGTATTTTGTTTAAATACAACAAAATTCAGCATGTTTTTTGTTGTATTGTAGTTGTTGCTTTCTATTTTATGATTACATTACGAGTAGCTGTGGCTTTCTGAGCTAAAGAACCCCTGTCCTGTAAAATGACCAACAGGCCAAGGGTTTTGAGCTCAGCAAGCAGAGAGCTGCAGAGCTCCATTAGCATTACCTCCTTGTGCCCCTGCCTGGGCAGAGTGGGCCTCTTGTGATAAAACCAGCACCTGTCTCCACACTTCCCTGTACAGGACATAAGCAGATGTTCAGCCCAACAGAGGAAAGCCACACATTTCTTCAGCTTATCACTCTGTGTCAAGACCGCACATTGGTAGGAATGAAGTTGTTGGATAAGATTTCCTCCGTTCCCCATGGGGAATTGTCTTGCAGTAAGTTCTTGGCCTTTTTCTTATATATTTTGGGTCTAAACAGGTCTCAAAAAGTCTCCCAGTCAGTCTCTCAAATTCAGTTTGGATCCTTGTTCCTGCTGTGAATACCGAGCCCTCCAGCAGGGGTTATAAGTTCTTGTTAGAAAGCCTTAACTTCACTGAAGAAAATTTGGAAAGTATGGATGAGTACCCCCAATTTAAAATCATACAAAAAGGTAACCTTTACTCAACATACTTATTTCACTCCTACATTGCCCTGCAAAGTGAATAGTATTGTCCCCATTTCAGAAAGGAGGAAAACTTTACCTTAGGAAAGCTGATTGCATCTATTAAGTGGTGTTTGAACCCAGTCCATGGATTTCAAAGCTTGTTTATTTGCCATAATATCTAACTAATTATAGGCATTTATTAGAATGTGTGGTAAGCTCTCTTTTTTAAAAAAATGACATTATACTAAGTATAGTTCTTTTTAACTTTATGACTATGCTGTCATTAATATTTTTCGTGACATTGAATATTATTCTATATAATGGCTAGACAGGATTTCTCTTCTATATAATGAAAAATTGTATATTAGGGCAGGGAACAGTGGCCCACACCTGTAATCCCAGTGCTTTTGAGAGGCTGAGGCCAGAGGATAATTAGAGGCTTGGAGTCTGAGACCAGTCTGGGCAACATGGTAAGACCCTGTCTCTAAAAATAGTTTTAAAAACTTAGTAGGGCATGGCTGCACACACCTGCAGTCCCAGCTACTTGAGAGGCTGAAGTAGGAGGATCCCTTGAGCCCAGGAGTTGGAGACTGCAGTGAGCTCTGATTGCAACAAACACTGAACTCTCGCCTAGGCAAGAGTGAGATCCATCTGTAAAATTTAAAAGTAAATAAAAATAGTCTTCTGTATCTCTTCAGTCCAATTCAACAATATTCACTGAGTGCCAACCATGTGCCAGACACTGTAAGCATCTAGGATATGGTACATAAGCAATCCCTTGAGCTCAGACTAGGATTTTAATACATTGAGCCAGAATGATGGGGTCAAGATAGATCTGGAGGAAATGTCTAAACGAAGGCCTGAAGGACATTGTCAGGGATGCTTAGTAGTCAGTAGGACCAGAGAGGGCCCTGCAGATGCAAAAGCCCAGAGGCTGCAGCATGTATTAAGGATGGTTTCAGTCCTGACATTGCAGATATTTTTTCCCATTTGCCATTTAATTGTGCTTACAGTGATTAAAAAATACTATAATCTGTGCATGTCAGATCTTTCACTACTTTAGAAAGCCAGAACATCAAATGGTGATTAGGCCCTGAGACCTTCCACTGGGATACGAGCAGAGAATGCCCTCGGATTCATGTGGCAGGAACTCCTTTAGTTTTCTCTGCAGAAAGTTTCTCTATATTTAGAAGGCAAGGGTGCTGTGTTCTCATTTTGGGGGCCCTTTGGGGATACAGTCACTACATGACTGTCTTTGAGGATTTTGCTATGACTGAGAATGATTTGAATGTCATCAAGGATCTGTGTCAGAGCTACAGCTGCTGAGTTTAGGGACCTCGAAGGGCTGGTGGGAGGCCCCTCTCCAGACAGGCCCCTTCTCCACCAGGCAGAGAGGTTGACAGTGGGTGGCCAGGGTTCATAATCCTATCTTACCGGTGCCCCACCCACCCAGCCACAGAGCTCCTGATCCTGGCACATCATTGCTTCACCCTGACATGCCACATGGAGGGCATCATCCGAGTTCTACAGGCTGCCCGGATGCTCACAGATAACCACCTGGCCCCCAGTGAGGAGTATGGGCTGGTGGTAAGTAGCCCCCTCAACTCCAGTCTCCATTCGGTAGAAACCTGAGAGGAGTAGAAAGGGTGGGGGCCGGTCCAGAGCTGATATAGTCTTAGGGAGTTGTGCCCATCTGGATACCATTACCTCCTTGAGAGTTGGCTGGACAGCCCAACCCTCTGCTCCAAGTTACGATTTCTGTCAGAACCAAAAGTTGCTCCAAAGGAGCAAAAGGGAGAAGATCCCTGCCAGGTTCCAGGTTCATCCCACCCCCTTGTCAGAATAGTTAACTTTTCTAGAGGGCTAAGACAGTGGCATTTTCCCCCAAAACAAGGTTTGGACATTCCCCCTCTCTCTGAATTGAAAAGAGTTGGCAACTCAGTTCCCATGTGCCTCCCCAAATTCTCTGGGCTTGAGCAAGGAACTGGCCACTGTCAGGAGTAGTGGTGAGAAGAGGAAGAGCACTTGCCCGGGAAAGTGGCATTTTGGCACTTTGTCACATTTAAGCATAGCAAGGCCAGGTACAGTGGTTCATGCCTGTAATCCCAGCACTTCGGGAGGCCAAGGCAGGAGGACCACCTGAGGTCAGGAGTTCAAGACCCAGCCTGGCTAACATGGTGAAACCCTGTCTCTACTAAAAATACAAAAATTAGCCAGGCATGGTGGCACATTTCTATAATCCCAGCTATTCAGGAGGCTGAGGCAGAAGAATTGCTTGAACCGGGGAGGCGGAGGTTGCAGTGAGCCAAGATAGCACCACTGCTCTGGGTGACAGAGCAAGACTCTTTAAAAAAAAAAAAAAATACAGCAGAGAAGGGGAACAGCCAGTGATGGCCCAGTGACTGGCATTTCTGAATCCTCCAGAGGGTCCCTTTTGCGTACATGGGATGGAGCTAAGCGTGGTAACCTGGAAATTAGCTCTTCTCCTCCTGGAGCTTGGCATCTGAAAGCAACCACTGATGGTAGTGATCTGGCTCAGAGAACTCCAGACTCCAGGTAGTGCTGATGTGAGCTGCCTTCCCCCTTCACAGGTACGGCTCCTCACTGGCATTGGAAGGTACAACGAGATGACATACATATTTGATTTGCTGCATAAAAAGCACTACTTCGAAGTGCTGATGAGGAAGAAGCTGGATCCGGTAGGTAGAAAGTAATGAGCTCCAGGATGAGGTGTACTGCTGACAATTCAGGAGCCTCAGCTTTTCTTGGGAATAATCTCAATCAGGGTAGACTCTTGGGAAAATGGAGGGAAGAATTAGGGACCTTCCAAAGACACACAATATAACCAGTGCCTTCAGATTCTGGTTCAGATCAGGCAGTGAATATGCTAATGCTAAATACTGAAAAAAACAAGTCTGTCTTCCTCCACCTCAGCCTCTGTCACCTGCCTCTATAAATGCCTTCTCTGACAGGGACAAGAACCCTTTCTGAGCCAGGCTGAAAGTGGATTATCTAGCTCTAAGGTTGTTTGAGGGCTTTTAGAGTGGAGAGTTTTCAGGAGACCGTGAAAAATTGTGCTGCTAAGAGCCAGGACAGGAATCGAATGCAAAAGTTTGGACTCAAAAGCTGTGGAGCCATTTATGATGAACAGGATATGATGCAAAGGCCTGACTTGGTTAGGTCTTGGGCTCTGGGAAGCCCATCTGTCCTCAGTGTGCTCTGTGACACCAGGCATATCCCTCAAAGTACCTGTTTACAGATCATTTGGCTGATTCATTGCTTCTGCTCATTTCACCTTCGGCTTCTGGGAGCAGCCAGGCAGGATTAAGAGACAAAGAAAAAGTTTTTCTTTAATACTGGGACAATTTCAGGACAGACCAAACTAGTCATCAAGCGAGGAGCAAGTCTTGAACATTAGGTGCATCTTCAAGATCCCCAAGAGGGTTTTTGAAATTGTTTTTGAGGCAGTTTTGCTTCTGCATTTAAATATTCTTTTAATAACTTTTTTTTCTGGTTACAAAAGTAATGCATATTCCGTGTAAGACACTCGGAAAACAGAACAACAGAGAAAAAGCCCTCAATGTCTATCCATCATCTGGAGACAGTTACTAACAATTTGGTATAGGCCCTCTGCACATATACCCAAAAACATCTACATATAATTACATTTTAAAAAAACTTATACAGTGAAGATATGAAATATCCTGCTTTTCTCAGTTAAGTGTATCATGAATATTTCCCAAAATCAAATCATCTCCTACGTATGTTTTAATGGCTACATGGTATTCTCTTGCCCTTATCTATCTGGATTGTTTCTGATTGTTTGCTATTAAATATCCCTGTTACATTCATCTTACCACTTTTCTCTGCGTATCTCTTTAGGGATAGATTCCTAGAAATGGCATTGTTAGATCAACGTATGCAGGCATAGCCTTTCACACTCCCAACAGCAAAGAGGACCTGCCTGTTTCTCATACTCAAGATAGCATAAAACTTGTATTCGTTCTCACTTTTGCTCCTCTGTTCCTTTTTCTTGGCAGTTTTTAAGGAACTTAGAACCAGGTGACTCAGCCACTCCTGTCTGCTTTGCAGTCCCCGACTGACACCCTGCTGTTCTCTTTTATTCTGGGCAGAGTGGTACCCTGAAGACAGCCCTGCTGGACTATATCAAACGCTGTCGTCCTGGAGACAGTGAGAAGCACAATATGATTGCCCTGTGCTTCAGTATGTGCCGGGAGATTGGCGAGAACCACGAGGCAGCTGCCCGCATCCAACTGAAATTGATTGAGTCTCAGCCCTGGGGTGAGTGAGGTCACAGCAGCACTAACAGAACAGTGCTGCTAGCTGGGTAAAATTATTATTATTTTTGTAACTATTGCCAGGCTGGAGTGCAGTGGCACAATATTGGCTTACTGCCACCTCCACTTCCCAGGTTCAAGCGATTCTCCTGCCTCAGCCTCCCGCATAGCTGGGATTACAGGCGCATGCCACTACACCCAGCTAGTTTTTGTATTTTTAGTAGAGACAGGTTTTCACCAGGTTGGCCAGGCTGTTCTCAAATTCCTGATCTCAGGTGATCCACCTGCCTTGGCCTCCTAAAATGCTGGGATTACAGGCGTGAGCCACTGCACTTGGCCCTAAGTAAAAAAAAAAATTTTTTATTGCATTTTAGGTTTTGGGGTACATGTGAAGAACATGCAAGATTGTTGCATAGGTACACACATGGCAGAGTGATTTGCTGCCTTCCTCCCCATCTTAGAGCAAAGGACAAGAGCCCATGAGATTGGCTGTTAGAATCTTGAGGTGGATGGCCGGGCCTGATGCCTGTAATCCTAGCATTTTGTGAGGCCAACGTGAGTGAATTACCTGAGCTCAGGAGTACAAGACCAGCCTGGGTACAATGGTGAAACCTATTGCTACTTAAAAAAAATTAGCCGGGTATGGTGGCACGCGCCTATAATCCCAGCTACTTGGGAGGCTGAGGCGAGAGAATCACTTGAACCCAGGAGGCGGAGGTTGCAATGAGCTAAGATGGCGCCATTGCACTCCAACCTGGGTACCAGAGCAGAGCAAGATTCTGTCTCAAAAAAAAAAACTCGAGGCGGGTATGTCATTCATCAGGAACCCCACTTGGACAGACAGATGGAATGCAGACTCAGAAGGCATTTGCAACTTAGAATTGTACTCTTGGATCCACAGCCTGTGTATCCAGGGTATCATCCACCAGGAACCAACATGCATATTGATACCATGTAAACCTTCCCTGATGTTTCAGAGAAATGCGGGGCACAGTCTTACTCGAGTGAAGTTACAATAAGTCTATGCATTTCTGGCCCATTAACCTTTATCTGAGTGAGGTGTTCCTGCCTCCCTGTGAACATGGCTGGGATGTTTTTATTCCAGCTCCCATCACGGGGTGGAATGAGAACAGTCTGCCTTGGAAGTCAGACTCAGCAAATCATCTTTATTTCCCTTGCAGAGGACAGCCTCAAGGATGGGCACCAGCTGAAGCAACTACTGTTGAAAGCCCTGACTCTAATGCTGGATGCAGCAGAGAGTTATGCCAAGGTAACCAAAGGCTTTTTCCAGACTGGCCTTGGGACTTGCTGTCTGCAGTAGGAATTATTTTCTTTTTTCCTTGTGCTATTCCAAATGAAGGAGGAGGGCATCATAGGCCAACCAGAAACAGAAGGGGTCAATACCATTGTGAGAGGGTTCACACAGGAGGTGAAAGTCTTTCTCTACCTGTGCCTCTCTTCACCCTTGTCCTTCAGGACTCCTGTGTGCGACAGGCCCAGCACTGTCAGCGGCTCACCAAGTTGATAACTCTGCAGATTCACTTTCTGAACACTGGCCAGAACACAATGCTCATCAACTTGGGCCGCCACAAGCTGATGGACTGTATCCTGGCCCTACCTCGGTTCTATCAGGTGAGCAAGAAAGCAGAACTCTAGCCAGCACTGCTATTATCCTCTCTCCTATTATCCCACTCATGGAACCCAAAGGTATGGTCTCAGGGCTAATGACAGAACCAGGACAGTCCAGTTCTGACTTAACTTTCTGATGCTAACATAAAAAGGCAGTTTGATTTATTTCTTACCAGTACCTTATTTGGGCAGGCGTTAGACAGTGGTAAGACAGTGCTGTCTGCTTTCGGTTTGTTGTTAGGCTAGCACTGGTCCATGGCCTGCTAGGAACAAGGCCGCACAGCAGGTGGGCAGCAGGCAAGCAAGCATTACCACCTGAGCACCACCCCCCGTCAGATCAGCAACAGCACTATATTTTCATATGAGTATGAACCCTGTTGTGAACTGCACATGCAAGGGGCTCCTTATGAAAACCTAATGCCTAATGATCTGAGGTGGAATAGTTTCATTCCGAAACCATCCCCTCCCAGTCCGTGGAAGAATGGTCTTCCAGGAAACCTGTCACTGGTGCCAAAAAGGTTGGGGACCACTGCCTTAAGACAGTTAATACTCTTGCTAGTGGTCCTGAAAGAACCTCCTAGCCCCATCAATTACAGAATGGCACACCGAGGTTAGTACAGGAAGTCAGGGAGATTGGTTCTAGCCCTTTAAATAAGTGGATTATCAGGGAATCAGCCCTTTCACTGTTCCTTATACTGCTGAGTTGATGGGAATAATACATTCTTCCTGAGCAGTTTCAATTCATTGTGAGGGGAAGATTAAAAACACTGAAAGAACCTGGGCATGGTAGCACACGCCTACAGTCCCAGATACACAGGAGGCTGAAGCAGGAGGGTCTTGAGCCCAGGAATTTCTAGTCCAGCCTGAGCCAACATAGTGAGAGACCCTGTCTCTTTTGTTAAAAAGGGTTTAAGGTAATTTGAGGCTTTATGGGAGGGAAAATGCCAAACACACACCAGACTTTTTACCACCTCTGATACATCGAGCCTTCTAACATAACTGGTAACAACATGAGTCGTTCTCTACATGAGTATACAAGGTTGTTTTCTAGAACAGTTTGTTTTTTTGATTTTACATCAGATGGGCTCTGATGGTGTCCTCCTCGACTTCTCTCCTTTTAAGGCTTCTATTGTGGCTGAGGCCTATGATTTTGTTCCAGATTGGGCTGAAATTTTATACCAGCAAGTGATTCTTAAAGGAGATTTTAATTACTTGGAAGAATTTAAGCAGCAAAGGTTATTAAAGTCCAGTATATTTGAAGAGATTTCAAAAAAGTAAGTATTAAAACTTGACTGTAAACATTTCTCCTTTCCTCTGCTTTGAGGTGAAACAAGTGTAAGAATGTTATGGCTAAGTACACCAAGCCTTTAGATTGCATCTACTTAAAATGGCAATGTCAAGAATCCTTAGAAGGAAGAGTCTTTCAACAAATTTATGCAAAGAGATGAGTAAGGACAGCTTGTACATAGTGCTTTGTACTTTAAAACGGGGGGGGGGGGGGGCGGGGGAAGGACAGCTACTCAGTACCAAAAACCTAAAACGATGGCCAGGCACAGTGGCTCGTACCTATAATCCCAGCACACTGGGAGGGTGAGGCAGCAAGATCAGCCTTGGCAACATGGTAAAACCCCATCTATACTAAAAATAAAAAAATTAGCTGGGTGTGATGGCATGTCCCTGTAGTTTCAGCTACTCAGGAGGCTGAAGGCTGCAGTGAGCCGAGATTGTGCCACTACACTCCAGCCTGGCAACAGAGTGAAACTCTTGTCTCAAAAAGAGAAACAAACAAAACCATTAAAATATCAGAGGTGCTTTTTGGAGTACTAAACTTACTCTAATTGAGGTGAGCATTAACATACTCATTTTTAATGAAATAGTTTATCAAGCACTCCCAATACTAGTCTGAGGTAACCCAGAATCTAGCACCCTCCCCGCTATAGGTAGTAGTAAGTGGTGGGTCAGACCTGACAGCCCTCACTCAAAATACAATATCCTAAGGTGGGTACAGTGGTACATACTTGTAGTCCCAGTTACTTGGGAGCCTGCAAGGGAAGCACTTGAGCCCGGGAGTTCACACCTCTGAAAAGCCACTGTACTCCAGCCTGGACAACACAGTGAGACCTCCATCTTTTTTTTAAAAGTAGGGGGTGGGCAGGCATGGGGGGATAGGGACAATGGCTCATGCCTGTAATCTCAGCACTTTGGAAGGCTGAGGCGGGCAGGTAACTTGAGACCAGTTCAACACCAGCCTAGCCAATATGGCAGAACCCTGTCGCTACTAAAGTTACAAAAATTAGCTGGCATGGTGGCACATGCCTGTAATCCCAGCTACTCGGGAGGTTGAGGCACAAGAATCATTTGAACCCAGCAGGCAGAGGTCACAGTGAGCTGAGACTGTTCCACTGCACTCCAGCCTAAGCAACAATAAGACTCTCTGTCTCAGACAAAACACAGTATCTTAACCTGTACATTATGTTTCTTTATCTAGATATAAACAACATCAGCCTACTGACATGGTCATGGAAAACCTGAAGAAATTACTCACATATTGTGAAGATATTTACTTGTATTACAAGTTGGCTTACGAACACAAGTTTTATGAAATTGTAAATGTGCTTCTAAAGGACCCTCAGACGGGCTGTTGTCTGAGGGACATGCTAGCAGGTTAGATGATTTCATAGGTGCCCGTTTTCTTGTACTGTTAGCAGGTTCTGACGGATGTGGTGAGTAGAAAAATGCATTAGAGATCTTTGCTAAAGTTGAACAATCCTGGTACTGTACCATGTCAGTCATTTGAAGGTAGTAGGCAGCGACTGAGAAACTTCAGAAAAATTCCTATTTAAATTGGATTGATTTTAGATGATTGTTCATCTATACCATTTTATATAGATACTAGTATTAAGATCAAAAGCTTCCTCTTCCTCAGGACAGCTTCTACTTTAGATGATCCAATAATTATTAAAGAATACCTGTACCTTCAGATTCCAGTTTCAAAGAAATTTAATATTATTTACACAGTTAAGTAACAGGTGATACATTTTCATTTGTTAGAAACTGATCTTTCTGTAATAAAATAGATTTTTAATTCAGTGTATGTCATTATTAACTACTAAGGAAATCTTAGCCCTTATCTGCCTTAAAATAATCTTTCCTGTAATTATTGCTGTATAGTCACTGCTTTTTGTTAATTCTTCAAATCACTTGGATGGTCCTGTTTTCCACTTAGTAGTCTACAGAGTTTTGACGTTCCTATTTCCTATATAAGAGAAATTTAAAACATTTTTTATTCTATCATCTATCTATCTTAGGGTAATAAAAAAAAGACTAACCACACATTTGGTTAAACTGCTTAGAAGAAGACATAATAAAGATTCCCCCATCTATACTTAGCCATAAACTTGAGTTACAGGCTAAATTACTCCAAATAAATAGTTCTAGGTACTTAATTAGGCCTTAATATCTAAATAACAAAATAATTTCCCCAAATAAATAAGAGGAAGGCAGCCCTATACCTTTGTTGCTCTATGGTGACATTATTAAGGACCTGGCAAATCACTCACGTTTTAAAGCTGTAACTATGTCAAGCATTTATTAAGCTTTAATAGAAAAAGAGAACTACTCCCAAGAGCTGTGTTCTATACGCTCAAAAAAATATCTCTTAGGAGGTAACACAAAATTTAACTCCTCACAATAGTGATTTTATTAAATTAGTTGCTTTATAAAACATTGCAGATGTCATAATTGTTAACATAACAATTTACCAGACTGTAGTTAACTGGTGCAGTTTGCTGAGCATGTTTTATAAAGGAAAGGAAATGCCAAAACCCTGGTAAAATTGTTCCATTGCAGCCTAAGAGAACAAATATAGGTTTCTCAGACACTTAAATCAGGCAAATAAAAACAAGTAAAGATTTCCCCTCCCCCATCTGAAGCACTTCGTCAGTAGAAATAGCCTGATAAATAGTCTTTGCACTCGAGAGAGATTCCACAACATGTAATGCAGTAATGGAGAGGTTTACCTTCTTTAGCTTCGAAGCTGGAGGGTTTTGGTTAAATTTTATATCAAACTAGTGCTTTTCAGCCGCAGTATCTTCACTCTGAGATAAGCAGTCTTCTTCAAAATGTATTTTTAATATCCTCATGTTCAATTTTAAGACAAAGCAATTTAAATAGTAGGTGCACATCACATGCCCTTGCTGCAAACTGCTTTTCTTGACAAGTTATGAAGTAGTTCAAGGAGGTATGGTTAAGGCTGTATTACTGAATCGTGCTGGTAAATACTACACAATTTTTTTTGTCATGTTGCAACCATTTGTTTCCAATTTAGTGACAGCTGCTATGAAATCAGATAGCAACAATGACAACATTATTAGGTTTGTTTTGAACTATGATTTAGTAGCAACTGAAGTTACCAATTTTAACCCCTTGGCAGCAAGATCCAAGTTCCCTCATTCGCACAGTAGCACCTAAGTTCGAGGGGTTAAATAACCAGCACAAAAGATACTGCACTTCTGATTGTAGCATTTGGCAGAACTGAAAGGAAAGTAAGTTGTGCTACATGTTCAAGGGATTGTGGGCAACAAAAAGATGACACCAGGAAAAGATAAAATGTCACATGAAGTCTTCATAGTCTTGTACATATCCTCCATCATAACCACCATAATCTGCCAGATCATCTTTCATGGTGGCTTTTAATCCCCCTCCAGGAACCACACCTTTCTTCTTCTTTTTGGCTTTGCTTTGCTAAAGATGAAAGAGAGTTAATTCATGAAACTTTATGTGCTATGGGTATCTTATCTGGTACAGCAACCCTCATAGACAAAAACCTTTGGTCCCAGAAACACTAGTTCTATAAGGGACATCTGAGCCTACATGTTTTGGACTTGAACAGGTCTCAAAAAGGTCTCCCAGAGTCAGTCTCCAAAACTTGATATGGATCCTTGTTCCTGCTCTGGATACCGAGCCCTCCAGCAGGGGTTATAAGTTCTTGGTAGAAAGCCTTAACTTCGGCCGGGCGCAGTGGCTCAAGCCTGTAATCCCAGCACTTTGGAAGGCCGAGGCGGGTGGATCACGAGGTCAAGAGATCGAGACCATCCTGGTCAACATGGTGAAACCCCGTCTCTACTAAAACTACAAAAAATTAGCTGGGCATGGTGGCGCGTGCCTGTAGTCCCAGCTACTCAGGAGGCTGAGGCAGGAGAATTGCCTGAACCCAGGAGGTGGAGGTTGCGGTGAGCCAAGATCGCGCCATTGCACTCCAGCCTGGGTAACAAGAGCGAAACTCCGTCTCAAAAAAAGAAAAGAAAGCCTTAACTTCACTGAAGAAAATTTAGAAAGTATGGATAAGTACTCCCAAATTTAAAATCAGAAAGAAAAAAAAAAAAAGCTAATCTTTATTTGACATACTTCTCTTACTTTATTACTCTGCAAAGTGAATATTACTTTCCCTATTTTAGAAGGGAGAAAACTGAAGCTTAAAAAAGCTGATTTGCCTATAGCTATTAAGTGGCAGAGCTGGTATCTGAACCCAGTCTGTGACTTCAGCAATTTCTATTAACTCAGAAAAGGGGAACATGTCTGTAAACAGAAGGACAGTAATGGCACCCATACTCCTGTTCTAGTCTAACTTAAATGTGAGTTTAAGTAATTAGGACAGGTTCCTATTAAAATTGTTGAATGTCAGATCTATAACCCCGCTCTGATTTAACACACATTTCCCTACACAGCTTGCTCTTACCTTTTCTTGCTTCTGTTTTTCACTGCAAAGCACAGTCAGTGAATTGGTAATCTTTTTCAAGTCATCAATTTCCACTTTAAAAAAAAAAGGGGGGGGGGCATACCATTAAACTTTAATTTTTAAGCATTTTGAAAAGTTAAAGCAAAATACATATATTCCATGTATATCGATCCCAAAATGTACATTCCAAAAGTGTTATGAGAAATCCAATTTGTTCATTGTTAAACTTAAGTGACTTTTAAAGGACCATGAATTTCTCCTTTTTAAACATAAGGTGGCCAGGCATAGTGGCACATGCCTATAATCCTAGTACTTGGGGAGGCCTAGGTGTATAGATCACTTGAACCCAGGCATTCAAGCCCAGGAATTTGAGACCAGCCTGGGCAACATAGCAAGACCCCCTCTACTGAAAATAAATTTTTTTTAATTTCTAATAATGACCTGTAATCACCAACACACCACTGCTCAACCAAAGAGAAACTGTCTTTGTAGCTCACAATGTTACCTATTATCCTTCTTAGTCTAAACAAATGGTGGAGGATAACATGCCCCCTCCCATTAACACATCCCCAATAATAAGTCAGAACAGACAAGTGAACATGGAATGACAATTTTTTTGTTTTTTTGAGACAGAGTCTCACTCTTTCACTCAGGCTGGAGTACAGTGGTGCAATCTGGGCTCACTGCAACCTCTGCCTCCCAGATTCAAGCAATTCTCCTGCCTCAGCCTCTGGAGTAGCTGGGATTACAGGTGCTCACCACCATGCCTGGCTAATCTTTGTAATAATTTTTTTTTTTTTTTTTTTTTTTTAGTAGAGATGGGGTTTCACTATGTTGGCCAGGCTGGGTCTCAAACTCCTGACCTCAAGTGATCTGCCCATCTGAGTCTCCCAAAGTGCTGGGACTACAGGTGTGAGCCACCTCACCGGGCCAGGATGACAATTCTTAAACCTACAATGACAACACCCTATCCCATGATGTCTCCATTTTCTCACAAGGGATCTAGAATGAGAACATTGACCAACCATCTCAGTGTCCTACCAAGAAATAGTCCTGTTCAGTGGATAGCATATCCTTTCATCCTTATAAAATATGAAACTGGAAAGAGACATTAATTTTTAGCTACCAGAAAGTTGTCAGTTTTGGTTAGAGAACACCTCCAAAAACCAGAAAAAAAATAGTACATGCAGAATAAAATATCAACTCTGAGCACATTACTGATCAAACTTAGTGATAATTTCCCATAGAAAACCTAATTCACTGTGTAGGATTCCCTTTTCTCCATTTTAAAAACTACAAATAGGCCGGGCGCGGTGGCTCAAGCCTGTAATCCCAACACTGTGGGAGGCCGAGGCAGGTGGATCACGAGGTCAAGAGATCGAGACCATCCTGGTCAACATGGTGAAACCCCGTCTCTACTAAAAAAAATACAAAAAATTAGCTGGGCATGGTGGCGCGTGCCTGTAATCCCAGCTACTCAGGAGGCTGGGGCAGGAGAATTGCCTGAACCCGGGAGGCGGAGGTTGCGGTGAGCCGAGATCGCACCATTGCACTCCAGCCTGGGTAACAGGAGGGAAACTCCGTCTCAAATAAATAAATAAATAAATAAATAAAAAATAAAAACTACAAATAGGTTGGGCACCAGTGGCTCACACCTGTAATCCCAGCACTCTGGGAGGCAGGCAGGTAGATCACCTGAGGTCAAGAGTTTGACACTAGCCTGGCCAACATGGTGAAACCCAGTCTACTAAAATTACAAGAAATTAGCCAGGCCTGGTGGCACACACCTGTAATCCCAGCTATTCAGGAGGAGGCTGAGGCAGGAGAACTGCTTGAACCTGGGAGAAAGAAGTTGCAGGGAGCTAAGATTGTGCCATTGCACTCCAGCCTAGGGGACAAAGACTCTGTCTCAAAAAAAAAAAAAAAAAAAAACTAGCAAAACCAGTCCCTTCCGTATGTTCATGCTGCACCACCCATGACTGTCACTCCCATTCACACTGCCCTGAAATGTATGACTCCTGTCAAGGTGTGGCACCACAACCACAGACCCAGAGAATTAGGTGCCTGCCCTGTCACGCAACTTGCACCTTGTCTAATTTGTAAAAGACAGTGGCTAAAGTCTCACCCAAATCCTACAGGCCCAGAGACCTTTTCCCTCAAAAGATACTTCCCAGCCCCTCTCAAGTTATAATCAGATAATAGGCCAGTGTTTTATTAGCTGCTTTGCTGAAAAGCACAGGGATCTCTTTAAGAAACAATTGTAAAAATCAAGAAGTCCCCCTACCCCAACAAACAAAAAGATGCAGCACTCAAATTCACTGTGTATCTGCAGAACAAGGTTAATTGCTAAAA